TCATCATAAAGGAGTGTTGGATCTTGTCAAATGCTTTTTCTGCATCTATTGAGACAACCATGTGGTTCTTATCGTTGCTCCTATTGCTGTGAAGAATTATATTGATTGATTTATGTATATTGAACCAGCTTTGCATCCCTGAAATAAATCCTGTTTGATCATGGTGTATGATTTTTTGGATGAATTGTTGAAGTCGATTGGCCAAAATTTTGTTGAGAAGTTTTGCATCAGTGTTCATCAAAGAAATGGGTCTGTAGTTCTCTTTCTTTGATGAGTTCCTGCCTGGTTTGGGGATGAGGGTTATGATGGCTTCATCGAATGAGTTTGGTAGTGAACTTTCTCTTTCAATTTCATTGAAGAGTTGGAGGAGTATTGGTGTGAGCTCTGCTTTGAAGGCCTTGTAGAATTCCGCTGTAAAACCATCTGGTCCTGGGCTTTTCTTAGATGGGAGGTCTCTATTTCAATGCTTGATATGGGCTTGTTAAGATGGTTTAACTCATCTTGGTTTAGTTTTGGCATGTCAATCTTTGCTAGGAAAAGGTCCATTTCTGCCAAGTTCTCACACTTATTAGCATAAAGTTTTAAGAAGTATTCCCTTATAATGTTCTGAATCTTGGTTGTTTCTGTGGTGATGTTTCCATTCTTATCTCTGAGTTTAGTTATTTAGGTGTGTTCTCTTCTTCTTCTGATAAGATTTGCTAAGGGTCTGTCAATTTTGTTAATTTTTTCAAAGAACCAACTCTTTATTTTGTTTATTCTTTCTATGGTTTTTTATTCTAATTCATTTAATTTATTCTAATTCTGATTTAATTTTAATTATTTCTTTCTGTCTACTGGATTGGGGTTTATCTTGCTGCTCTTTTTCAAGGAGGCTCAGATGTCTCATTAAATTGGTGGTTTCAGATCTCTCCAATTTGTTGATGTAGGAACTCAGAGCTATAAACTTGCCTCTGAGTATTGCCTTTGCCGTGTCCCAGAGGAGCTGGTAATTTGTGTGCTCATTTTTGTTGAATATCATGAACATTTGAATTTCCTTTCTAATCTCTTCCATGACCCACTGGTGATTCAGCAGTGTGTTTTTCAGCCTCCATGTGTTACAGAACTTTCTTTGGTGGCTTTTAGTGTCGAGTTCTGATTTTATTCCCTTGTGATCTGAGAGAATGCAAGGTTCAGTGTGTCTGAATTTGGACAAGTTTACTTTGTGGCCTAAAATGTGGTCTATTTTGGAAAATGTTCCATGTGCTGCTGAGAAAAACGTATATTCTGATGCTGCTGGGTGAAATATTTGGTAGATGTCTTTTAAATCTAGTTGATCTATGCAGTTGTTTAGATCTGCGGTTTCTCTGTTGAGTTTTTGCCGAGTTGATCTATCTAGTGGTGAAAGTGGTATGTTAAAGTCCCCAACAATTAATGTCTTTGGATCTATGTGGGAATTGAGGGAAAGTAGTGTTTCTTGGATAAATTTGGGTGCTCCGTTGTTTAGCGAGTAGATATTTAGAATTGTAATATCCTCCTGAAAGAGAGATCCCTTAATTAGTAGGTAGCGACCTTCTTTATCTCTTCTCACGAATTTTCATTTGAAGTCTATTGTATCTGATATTAGGATTGCAACTCCCACCTGTTTATGCAGGCTGTTTGCTTGGTAGATTTTATTCCAGAGTTTCACTTTCAAAATGTGTTTGTTTTTATGGTCAAGATGTGACTCATGAAGGCAGTAGATAGAAGGATCTTGCTTTTTAATCCAACTAGACAGTCTATGTCGTTTAATTGGAGAGTTAAGTCTGTTAATGTTGAGAGATAGGACTGAGAGGTGTTTGGGAGTTCCTGCCATTTTATCCACCTTCTTGAGGGCTGCGGCAACTGGGTTCTTCCTATTGGTTCTTGGATTCTCAGTTTGGGTGTGGTTTCTTGGCCTTTATTGTGGTCTTGTTGGTTTTCCATGTGTAGGATATCTTTAAGAATCTTTTGTAGGGCTGGTTTGGTGAGATATATTGTTTCAATTTTTCTTTGCTATGGAAGGTTTTTATTTGACCTTTGGTTATGAAGGAGAGTTTATCTGGGTACAGTATTCTTCGTTGATAGTTGTTTGTTTTTAGGGCATGGCATACATCATTCCAGGCTCTTCTTGCTTTTTACTTGTCTCTGCTGAGAAATCTGAGGTGATTCTAATTGGTTTCCCTTTATAGGTGATTGATCGTTTCTCCTTGACAGCTGTAAGGATCTTTTTCTTGGTCTGAATTGATCCTGTGTGGATTATAATGTGATGGTGGGATGTCCTGTTCTGGTCTGGTCTATTTGGAGTTCTAAAAGCTTCTTGTATCTGAATAGGCCTATCTTTTTGCATGTTTGGGAAGTTCTCTGCTAGGAACCTGTTAAACAAATTTCCTAGACCATTAGCTTCTGTCTCTAGGTGCTCCTCTACACCCATTATCCTCAGGTTAGGCCTTCTGATGGTGTCTTCCAAGTGCTGAAGGTCATACCTTTCTTAGTCAGGATTTTCTTTTTTATTTATGTGTTCAGAGTCAACTGGGAAGTCTTCAGCTGTCACCACAGTGGAAGACAATGCCAACACCAGTGGCACGGTCTTCAGAGAAGGTGAGAACAAGCAATGCATCAATGCTCTGTTCCACAGGGTGTCACCCAGGTGGTCCTCCACTGCCCCTCAGGGACAACCTCATTCCCCATGGTGCAGCCTTAGATACAGAGGGCAAGATCAGGGTTGTCTGTGTTCCCAGGAAGACTGTCAGAAACACACAGGCTTCTATGGTAATGAAATGTTGAGGCTATAGTCATTTGGGACTCTAAATTATCTCCATTTTACTTAAGTATATGCTTTGTAATCTTATTATTACCAATTATGAATGACTATCTGCAAGCAATTAGCAAATCACGCATCAAGGGCAACATTAGGACAGAGATGGCCTAGTGTCCTGTGCATTCGCTGGCTGTATGTCTGTAGCTGTGGTGAGTGGGTGAGCGCTCACATCCTAGAGAAGGCATTGTGGGAAATCTCCTTGTGCATCATTGATTGAGGTTTCACTTTTTTCCCTCATATATTTGTTATCTTTAAGGAATTGTAAAAAGGAGCTACCATTCAACAAAGCAATTTATAAATACAGTGTTGTGAACTCTTAACACTCACGAATATCACTATTTTTCAAACATAAATTTGATCGATAATTACCAGTTTAAGTTCAACTCTGATAGTCAGGCAATCAATTTTAAATTTTGGTTATTTCTTAGCTATCATGTTGTTTGCCAGCTGTTTGTCTCTGCTGTAGTCCAAGTGTGCACATACTGCTCCAAGTCTCTGAACATGTTTCCCTACACACGCAGTTGTCCCTGACCTTGCAAATCATCTGCAGGGGAAACTTACTAGATGTACCTGCTTTGTCTCCTCACCTGCCTCAATTTACAAATTGATAGACTGAAGCCCAGTATAGGAGAACAAGTTCTTTTGGCAAAAGATGCTCTCCAAAACAGAGCACATCTGCTATCTCATTTCCACTCTTTATGGATTCCCTGCTCAGACTGCATGTTAGGACACATACCAAACAGTGTGAACTTCCCAAAACTCAACTATTGAGGAACAGAAAGAATGAAAGTAGTACCTGACAAATACTGAATACAAACCTGAGTTTTGTAAGCTTTCCCTTTTTAAGCTCCATGATTGTGCTGTTGTTCAAAGTGCCTATCGGGTTGTTGTAGAACATTTACAAATGTAGTCTTTTGCTCAGGACAATTTGAGAAGCACAGGCTGTGGCATGGAGGCTGAGCCTGAACCATTAGATTGCTGTGACTCCTGACTCAGCTGCTGACCCCTGCTGACCTACAGCAGAGCTCTCAGACATCCTTCATGGGTGGAAAGAATAGCATAGAGCATGTAACAGGATGTCATTGGTGAGCTGAGGGGAGGGTGATCACATGAAATCTTTGTTTTCTCAGTGGGAACCGGCGGTCCCCCTCTTGTCACACCTGCTGCTGAGGAAATCAGCACAGCCAGGGCAGCAGGCACTGGGGCCATAAGCCCAGGACACTCAGGTGAGTCACCACAGATATTTGGGACCCAATCAATGAGTGCACACATCAAAACAGGCAGGTTGTGTGATCAATGATGAAGACATATTGGGAGATTTGCGTTGTCACTTGAATCTCCACTATGTCCCTCATAAATCTAGCTTGTGTTGGAAGCCTTGCTGCTGGGGAGTCAGTGGGAGCAAGCTCAGCATCAGGCAGGGCCAGCACACCTGGACCCTCAGCCACCAGGGCCCCCAGCTCTGCACACACCATAGGCAAGGCATCAGTTCACCTGGGGCTGTCCTGGCAACAAGCACAGCTTTGGCAAGACCAAAGTAGGAGAAAATGCAATTGGGCAAGTGCAATGAAAGATAGCATGCTAGGAATTAATACCACCAAGAAGTATAAAATTCATTCATAAATATTTAACAAAGATCTATTTGTATCCCTTAAGAACTATTCTTGAAATGGAAACTGGATGCATTAGTCTTCATTTTTGTCTTCTTTCCGATTTGTTGTGTTTGTTCCTTTATGTGTCTTCGGGAGGGCACGGGGAGCCACAGGAATGGAGGGACAGAGGGTGAACAAAAACAGCAGTGGTATTCACCAGCACTGTAGAAAATGAACTATACAACTTATGGGTGGGACCAGAGGTAATAACCAGAAGTGAGGGAGGGAAGGAGTGACATTGTCAAAAAAGAAATGGCCTCTTTACCTGATTTACGGAACTATAACTCCTCTGTAAATCACCTTTTTAGTAATAATAAAAAATAGTTTAAAAATAATTTTACAGAGAACTGTTGATTTTGGGTTTTAGGAACTAGTGAAGGAACCCCCCAAACCAGAGCTTCTGGGGAGAGGACACCTGTAAGGACAGGTATAGAAAGAGCATTCACAGCATGGGGCCTTTGTGGGACTTGCATGAGCCTTTTTTTGAGGCACAATTGTTTATGGTACCCTAACGTTGTTATCTATGTAATTATAAGAGATCATATCTAGGTCAAAAAATATTTGTTCTACCCCTAAGATTGTGTTGGATGTTGTGTGGAATAGAGGAAATGAAGAGATGATGTATTTTCTTAAGGATATTTTGGGGGAGGATGGAAATTATATTCACATAGGCTAGAAAGACAAAGTAAAGACAAGGCAGGAATGGAGTATGGAAAATTGTGAACCAAATTAGAGAAGTTTAAAGAAGAGAAATCATTGAGTGTTAAAATGTGAGCATGTACCTGTTCCATTTTATTTAAAAAAGAGTATCCTAATGGAGCTGGTACACGATTACAATTTTATATGATTTAGATCTGGATCAAGATCTAGAAATGACTAGATTAATTAAGCAATTAACTAATTGCTCCATTTTATTAAAAAAGTATCCTAATTGAGCTAGTACATAATCAAAATACATGATTAAGATCTAGAAATAGATTAAATCTTAATCTAGAGCATGATTACAATCTAGATCAACAATTTAAGATGAAAGTAATGCTTATATATGTATATACTTACATCCTTACTTATGTATACATCCCTGTCTTCAAAGATAAAGTATGTCCATGAAAGGATCTACCACTATGTGGTCTTAGGCTGATAAACTTTCCTATTATCAATATCAGGAACACCTAGAGCTCCATCTGGAACCAGCCCTGCAGCTGCAGGTGTCAGCACCCCTGGAGAAACAGGCACTGGAGCCACAGGTTCCGGTAAGTTCATCCAGATGAACAAGACACTGTAACTCCTCTCGTCCTGGAGCATGTGTTGGTGGTAGTCTGAGCTTATTATATTTGAGCCCAGGGCAAGGCAAAGGTGGAGGTATGTGTCTTTACTTGCTTTTTGAAACTGCTGAGTAATGGCTGGAGTAACCATCACACTTTTCCCAGCGTGCTCCTAGCTCTAGTGACCATACCAGTGTCTGCAAGTTCCACTACTGCCAGCCCTGGAACTTCTGCTAGATCAACCACAATCTCCAGTAGCAGCAGATACAATAAGGAAAAGGGACAAATCAAATAGAATATTATAATTAATTATACCTGGAGTTGGATGTAAAACTCAAGAGGCTGGAATGATAGGAATCAGTACTTTAGCAGATAGCAATGAAAGGTGTGTGTTACAGGATGTCCTGGATGTTGCTCAGTTGTCAACATTGGTAAGGGCATGAGGCCCATGATTACCTCAGGAGTCATTGTTACTCTCCTGAAGCTGTGGGTGCTGTGTGAATACACGGCTGGTCATCTTGTCAGCAAAAGAAATCCACTGCAATCATTCTACCATTATAACTAAAAAGTATTTCAACTGGCTTCTGGTGGTTCACACCTGTACTCCTAGCTACTCAGGAGGCAGAGGACTGTAGTTCAAAGCCAGCCTGGGCAGGAAAGTCTGTGAGACTCTAATCTCTTATTAACTACATACACGCACGTGCACACACACACACACACACACACACACACACAAGTGGAGCTGTGGCTCAAGTGGTAGAACACTTGAGCAAAAAAAAAGCTCAAGGCAGCAGCCAGATCCTAAGTACAAGCCCCAGGACTAGCACTAAAAAAAAAAGAAAAATATATATGCATAGATATGTAATATCTAAAATATATAATATATATCATAGTCCTTTGGCAAAATTTCCCACGTATATGTGTTTCTTTAAGGATCTAAGCACTAGGCTCAATGTTTGGAATACTCAACAGGTCTGGTAGTGAGCCTAATCTGTATTCAAGAAGTTGGTCGTCAACATTGGTAGCAATGATGGTACCACAGTTTACTATTACTGCCTTGAAAGAGTGAGTCGGCAATAGAGAAATGCAAGTGAATGTGTAAAATACATGTAGATCCAGAGGGCGCCATGATGTGTTCTCCTTTATCAAAGTTATTGATACACATCCATGGTTCACCTTGACAGGCACCACAGGACCAGCAATTAGTAAAACAACTCGATCCCCAACTACTGAGCCAACAACACATGAGGAAAAGCCGGGTAAGCAGAGGCAGATGCCCAGTGGTTGAACCGTGTATTGAATGGAAGAGTCACACCTCAGAACTCTGCTCACTTAAAATAGAGTGGCGGAGAAAACATATATATGCCTAGGCGATACACAAAGTGATGCGTGGTATGTTTGTAAAATGTGCAATAAACTGGGAGCTGTGACTCATGCCTGTAATCCTAGTTACTCAGGAGGCTGAGATCTGAGGATTGCAGTTTGAAGTCAGCCTAGGCAGGAAAGTCTGTAAGACTCTTATGTCCAATTAACCATCAAAAAACTGTGGGTCAGGTGGTATATCACCAGCTTTGAGCCAAAAAGCTCAATAACAAAGCCCTGAATTCAAGCCCCAGGACAGTCACAAAAAAATTAAAACATAAAAACAATCACGGTTTTTCCAATGCAGAGCTTTGTTTCCCAAACAATTGGATCCATAGCTTGGAATGTTGAAAAGTGTGATTAAAGAATCATATTTCTGGGGCTGGGAAGGTGGCTCAGTGGTAGAGCGCTTGCCTTGCATACATGAGGCCCTGGGTTCAATTCCTCAGCACCACATAAGTAGAAAACGTTGGAAGTGGCACTGTGGCTCAAGTGGTAGAGCGCTAGCCTTGAGCTGAAGAACTGAGGGACAGCGCCCAGGCCCAGAGTTCAGGCCCCACAAACAGCCAAAACAAAAAGAATCATATTTCTCTTTACTACATGGATCCCAAGGATTGTACCACAGCCTATGACCAATGTCTTAAAGGAGTAATTCAGAATTAGCAACGGGTATATGAACATATAGAAGGTATTTTAAAACAGGGAATACTATGGCTCATTCTATTTTATGGCTAATTCTATTTTATCAAAGATCTGTTACAAGAAAATGTTCACTTTAACTGAAACCATGGGGCCTCTAGCTGGTAAAACAACTAGAACCCCAAGCAATGAACCCACACCTGCTGAGAAGTCTGGTGAGCAGAGTAGATGATCAGATGCTGTGCTGTTTATTGAAAAAGAGAGTCATGAATCAGAACACCACTTATTTTAAAACAATAATTTTATCTGAAGGCCTGGCTCACACATTAAAAGATGCATAAAGATGTTTGTGTTGAAGAAATAAAGCAGTAAAGCCAGGCACCGGAGGCTTACACCTGTAATCCTAGCTCCTAAGAGGCTGAGATCTGAAGATTGTGGTTTGAAGCCAGCCCGGGCAGGAAAGCACATGGGACTCTTATCTCCAATTAAGCACCAAAAAGCTGGAAGTGGAGCTGTGGCTGAAGTGGTAAAGCAGCACTAGCATTGAGCACAAAAGCTCAGGGACAGTAGCCAGGCCCTGAATTAAAGCCTCAGAACTGGCACACATTTAAAAAGAGCAATAAAGACAAATCAAAATATTTTACAAAAAATGCATTAGGGAACTTTGGAAAGAAAGAGAAGAAAGTCAGTAGATTCCTTTTCTCTATTTTCTATAGTTAGAATGATTGGAAAGCTGGGTCGCGGTTGCTAGTGAAGTTCATATGGACTTCAGGTGAGAATTTCCTTTGGTATTTCCTCAGGCTCTCCTGGACCTTCCACTCCCATCTCCTCCACAGCTGGAACTACAAACAGCAGAGCAGTTCAGAGCCCTGGCCTCACCACTACTGGGAGCAGAGAAGGTAACAAGTAGAAACAAGGGCACTGGTTCTACTCAGGAAGCTGGCTTCAGAAATGCTGTGCAGACATGTTTTTCAAATGCAATACAAGTCTTAGTGGTTATTCCTTGCATGTCACAAAATGTCATGTATTTACTTTATTCACATTACTAAAATGTTTATCATGGTAAAATTACATGTTCCAACTACCTTGACAGCTAGGAGATTGTACGCACCCTTTTAGGCTGGCATTTCTTTTGTATGGAACTTACCAGTGACAACTAGAAAATCAACAGGATGAAAATACAAATGACAGTCTTCAGAAGGTGAGACCAAACAGTGAAGGCATGCTCTGTTCCATAGGGTGTTTTCCCAGGCAGTCGGCCATTACATCTCAGGTACAATCTCACTCTCCATGGTTTAGCCTCAGATAGAGGGGCCACAGGTCAGAGCTGCCCCAAGTTAGTGGGAAGAGGGGATTTGGGGGCAATACAATGGTTGCTATGGCAACAAAACATTAAGGATGTAGACATTTGGTACTCTATAATTTCTAAATTTTGCTACAATATGTGCTTCATAATTTAGGTTTTCATACCATCACGGGAGTTATGTATGACTGTTTGCATGCCTTTGACAAGTAATGCCAGATCTCTAAGCTAAAAGAGGCAAGATTTGAACACACGATTCCTAACAGGTCAGGTGCAACACCTGATTGTACATTCTGTGATCAGTGAGTGGGGTCTCACATCTGACAAAAGTAGGGTCACACATCTGTCCTTGTGTGTCGTTGACCATAGTTTAACTCTTATCAGCCATGAATAAAATATTGACTTTCTTTAAACACTAATAATATGATTGAAAACCAGACTGATTTCAAACCAGTGCTCACACAATCAGAGGTTTTAGTGTCTGCTCAACTGTTATTTCATTTACATCCATTTTCATGTTCAAATTGTTAAACATACTCCAGTGTGTGTGTGTGTGTGTGTGTGTGTGTGTGTGTGTGTGTGTGTTCGCACGCTGCTTCTGGGGCTTGAACTCAGGTTCTTGGGTGCTTTTTCTGCTTAAGGCTGACTACCCACTTGAGCCCTAGCTCCACTTCTGCCTTTCTTGGTGGTTAATTGGAGAGAAGTATCTTACAGAGTCTTCTGCCCAAGTTGGCTTTGAACCACCATCCTCAGATCTCAGCCTCCTGAGTAGCTAGGATTACAGACATGAGCTATCAATGCCAGACTTCCAATATGTTTCTTTAGTCTTTCTCAAGGTGATGGTGTTCAAAGTGTGGTTTCTGGATCCAGGAGCATTGACAAATACAGGGAGACTTATTTAGATTCATATTTTATGCCCACTCTCTGTCTAGAGTCATACACTATTAGAGAGGAGACATATGTAAACAGGACTTTTTTGCATTAGGAGGCCTTCAAAGTAGACAACCTCTGCTCTCTCACTTTCACACTTTCTGGGCTGCATGCCCAACTTATAGTTAAGAATATAGACTGTGCAGAATGAATTTCTAAATACTCCACAAATAAGGAAGCTGAAACGTGCACCTTACATTGGTTAAATGAAAACTTGAGGTTTGCTAGGTTTTCCTTTGTAAGTGATACATTTTACTATTTGCAGTATGGTGTTGTCATAGCATCTATCAAAGTCACACTAGAAACTTAAGAAAATTATTACATTGAGGAGCAAATGTTCTCATGTTGATTCTGGGGCTCAGCCACTTGAGTTTGATTCTCAGACTAGACAGCTGAATAACTGGGTGACCCATAACAAGCCTTTCAGCCATATTGGATCAATGAAAAGAATAATATGTCTTATATAATGGGATTATCATCAGGAGTGTGTGTGCACACCTGTGTGCACGCTGTCCTTGGAGCTTTTCCACTCAAGGCTAGCGTCATTTGAGCCATAGTTCTACTTCTGGATTTGGGGGATGGTTAATTAGAGGAAAGAGGCTCATGAACTTTCTTTCCTGGCTTAGCTTTGAACTTTGATCCTCATATCTCAACTTCCTGAGTAGCTAGGATTACAGGCAGTAACTGCCTCAGAAATAGAGCATTTTTAAACCTTATTTAACTTGTTCATCAATAGGAACAGGAGGTGCTACTGAACCCACACCTAGTGGAGAGGAAAGCAGCACCACCAGGGGACAAAACACCAGAGCCACAAGCCCAGGAAACGCAGGTGAGTCACCACAGTACTTAAGTGTCCATTAAATGACAAAATCTAAGAACAAATCGAAATGAGCAGATCATTAGATAGATGAAGAAGATCTACAAGAAGACTGCAGTCTTGTCTTGGATCTCACACTGTGCCCCTCAGAGGAACCCCTGCTGTTTTTCAGATACAACAGGAGAGTCACTGGGAACAACCTCAAAACCAGGCCCAACAAGCACACCTGGACCCTCAGCCACCAGGGCCCCCAGCTCTGCATACCCCACAGGTAAGATAGAGCCCCACTATGGTGTTTGTATGTTCTAACACAAGCTCTGGCAAGACCAAAGAAGGCCATAATGTAGTTAGGGAAAGATGTCAAGTGATAGAGTGCCAGCCTTGAACAGAAGAGGGAGAATGTGAGGCCCTGAGTTCAAGCCCTAGTACTAGCATACACACAAAAAGGAAGAGATGGAGGGAGAGAAGAAAAGAATGAAGGAACAAAGGAAGGAAGGAAGGAAGGGAGAGAGGGAGGCAGGGAGGGAGGACGGAAGGAAGGAAAGAAAGAAAGAAAGAAGAAAGAAAAAAGAAAGGGTTCCTGAGTAATCAGATATTGAGCATTCAGAAGATTAATTTACCTCACAATATTTGTTTTCCATCTAACATTGGGTCTCATGCTCTGTATAACACAAGAAGATAATGAATTAATATTCATATAGGCATAAAAAATACAACATAAGCCAGGTGATGGTGGATCACACTTGTAATTCTAGTAGAGGATGGTCACAGCTCAAATCCTTAGAGATGAGAAAGTTCAGGAGATCCTATCTAAAATATAAATATCAAACCAAAGCAAAACAAAATGAAATCCAAAGATCAAATCCTCGCGCTCTAACCAAGTCAGTGGGAAGCCCTAAATTCAAACCCTCATTACTGCCAAAGAAAGAAAGATAAGGATTTAAAAAAAATCCAACCATACTGTGGAGGAAAGTGAATCACAAAACAAAATGAACCAAAAGACTGTTCTAAAAAGAAAAGATAACACCATTCAATGCTGAAACTCAAATTGTATAAATAGCTATGTTAACAAAGCATATGACTAAAAAATAGTTTTATGATTTACCTCAAAAAGAATGTACAATGCCAATGAAATATATAGAATAGATAAATTATTTTAAGGAAAATAAGCATATTTCAAGAAACATTCATAAATACACTGTCCTTTATGTTTTCTTTCCTTCTTTTGTGCCAGAGCTTGAACTCAAGGCCTGAGCACTGTCTCTTAACTTATTTTGCTCATGGCTGGCACTGTACCACTTGCATCACAACTCTACTTCCAACCTTTCATTGGTTAATTGGAGATAAGAGTCTTATGGACTTACTTGCCTGGCCTGCCTTTGAACCATGAGCCTCAGATCTCAGCCTCTGAGTAGCTGAGATTAAAAGTGTGAGCCACAGACACACAGATATATTTTGAAAATACATACTGAAGAAAATCCTTCAGCATCATGAAATCTATACCAATGGAAGTAAGGCTTAACATAGCTTAAAACCTCATAGTTGTTTCAGTATACAGCTTAGGTTGAGAAGCATGAGGTTCTGATTATTAAAAAATAGGTAATTAGCAACTTTCTGCATAGTGAATAACCACCTTGGGATTCTAACCATTATACAGGATTCTTATGGTTAATTTTTTTAAACAAATCAACCATAGGTAAGTGGATACAAGTGAATGAAATACTTTTAAAGCACATAGCAGCTGATCTGTTCTATATAATGACTGCTTATGACACATATTGTGTTTACTTTGGCAGGGACCACTACAACTGGAGTCCCAGGCAGTGAACCAACACTCCCTGGAAGAATCTCAGGTAAGGAGAGGATGGCTAAGTGTCCTGGCTCTTGTCATCCATCAGCGACTTTTCCTATTATAAAGCACAGTAGTTGAGACAAATGTTTGAAGATCTAGCTAGCCAAATTAAGTTATAGAAAAACTTCTTTGTAAAAACAAACACAACTGTAACAACAAAGAAATGACAACATGTAGCAACTAAACCAAAACCTTTAACAAAGTAATATCAGAATTAAAGTTGACCACACCATATTACAACAAAGTAATCTAGTCACTAGAAATTTTTGGTTTTAGTTCCCATAGTAGAAATCATTCTCTCATCCTTTTAATCTCTCTAGTTAGGTGAGCAATTATAGTGAAGTTCACAGAGCCTTCCCTCCCCTTCCTTTCCTTCACCTCTCCTCTCCTCTCCCCTTCTCTTCCCTTCTTTTCTAAGGCCTTAAATCAAGTGCCTCTCTCATGCTGAGCACAGAGTCTACCAGAGTTCTAATGCCAGCCCCAGCCATTTTCTTTTCTTTTTTCTTTTCTTGGTTGTAGGGCTTGAGCTTAGGGCCTGGGCTCAGTCTCTGAGCTCTTTTTGCTCAAGGCTAGCACTCTACCACTTTGAGCCACAGTACCACTTCTGGTTTTTGAGGGGTTACTAGAGATAAGAGTGTCACAAGGACTTTTCTGCTGGGCTGGCTTTGAACCACAATCCTCAGATCTCAGCCTCCTGAGTAGCTAGGATTACAGGCATGAGCCACCAGTGCCTGGCTCCAGCCATTTTCTTGATTTAACTTTTATGACTTTTGACTTAGGATTTTGTTTGAATAGATACTGATTTAAATAAAATACTAGGTGAGCAGATATATTCCATATAGTATATCAAAATTTCTAAAAATTATCCATCTTAATTGTATTGGTAAGCTAATGGAAATTTCAGGGCAATAGGAAGTTAGTTTATGGAAGTCAGTCAGCTATGTCTTTTCCTTTTGTTTCTGGTACTGGGGCTGGAACTGTGGGTCTTCTGCACTTGAGTTTGTTTGTTTTTAAGGGGGGAGGGGTCAGTCATGGGGCCTGAATCTGGGCCTCAGCTCTTCAGCTCAAGGCTAGCGCTCTACCACTTGAGCCACAGTGCCACTTCCGGCTTTTTCTGCTTATATGGTGCTGAGGAATTGAACTCAGGGCCTCATGCATGCAAGGCAAGCACTCTGCCACTGAGCCACCTTCCCAGACCCTGCTCTTGAGTTTTTTCACTCAAGGATGGCACTCTACCACTTGAGCCACACTTTCACTTCTGGCTTTTGGGGCTTATTTGGAGACAAGAATCTTATAGACTTTTCTTTCAGGGCTGGTTTTGAATGACAGTCCTGAGCAACACATGTCCTGATTAGCTAGGATTTCAGGCATGAGCCCCTTGCTCCCAGCAAGCTATATCTTCGTATTATCACACAGCATCTATACTGTCCTGGAACAGGGCTGTTCAGTTTGGGTCACAGGAGTAATGTTACAATTTCTACCATGTTATAAGTGAAAGAGAGAATGGGCATTGATAAACACAGCAATTTGATACAATGATCATATGTCTCAATATTTGAATGTGTGGACATATTTTTAAATATTTTATATATCTGCATTTATTTTATGGTATTTGTCAAAGCATCCATTGAAGTCAGTCTGAAATTTTCACAGGTTTTTGTACAATGTATTTTTATTGTTACAAAGGTGTGATATACAGAGGGGTTACAGTTTCATAAGTCAGGTAATGAGTACATTGCTTTTGGGACAATGTCACCCTTTCCTTTGCCCCTTCCCAGTTTTTCCCTCCCACAAATTGGGGAGGGGGCTTGTTGTTGTTGATTTTAGCAACAGATATTTGGAGAGCTCAGGCTCCAATGTAGATTGTAGAGTGAGATTGCTTGAGTTTAATTCCTGGACTGTAGTCAACTATCTCATAGACCTGAAACAAGTCATTAAACTGTGTGTATAGGGGGATTTTCATGAGGTTAAATGAATGGCTTGTGTTCAGGACATTTTTGTTACAGTCCTGGGGCTTGAACTCATGTCCTCAGAGCTGTCCCTGAGCTTCATGTTTTGCTCAAGGCTAGCGCTGTACCACTTGAGCCACAGCTCCACTTCTGGCTTTTTCTTTCTCTGAGTAGTTTATTGGAGATAAGCCTGCTTGGGCTGGCTTCAAATCATGATCCTTAGATCTCAGCCTCCTGAATAGGATAACAGGCATGAGCCAGCAATGCCTGGCTATTTAGGATGTTTATTAAGCCTCACTGGGAACAGGTAACCCTACAGAACTCACTCCTAACAGCACGCCCAGGGAAATAAGCAGGGGATCTATAAGCCAAGGACATTCAAATGAGTCTCAACTGCTGGAGAAACGATGGAAAGCAACAACAAGATTGGAACTTTGAGCTAAATCTCAGTGTTTTCCTTCAGAGGAACTAACACACATTGCTGCCATGGTTGCCACTGTGTTTATCAGGTGCGACGGAAGAGGCTGTGGCAGTGACCTCAGCATCCCGCAGGGAGAGCATACCTGGACCATCAGCCACCACAGCAGCCACCAGCTCTGCACACACAGCAGGCAAGAATGAGCCTCACTAGGGATTGTGGTGGGGTCAAAAAAAAAAAAAAAAGCTTTGCCAAAGATGGTAGTGAGTTTGAGGCAAGGTAATTAAGGAAACATTACACATGCCCTGGAAGTACTCCCTTTACAAGCTGTCTGCAGACATTAAAGTCCATTCTTCTTCACACAGGAACCAGCAAAGGAGCAGACACAGCCATGCCCAGAGCTACTTTTGGAAGCACATCTGGAAAGACAGGTCTGAAAAGATCACAGCTAGCATGGAATCTGGGTGGTAGATGTGTGAACTTTGGGCTCTGTCCTCAGAGGCAGGCTTCATGGATAATCCGGCCATTATTACTTTGGTCATTATTACTTCCATGCCCAGAAGATTAAGAAAAACCAGTTGCTACTTGTTTTACTATTTTAGCAGCACTAAAGAAGACAGGTTTAGCTTGAGAATTTTCTCACTCTAGTTCATGTTAGAGAAGGAATCATTAATATTTGTATAGACACAGAAGTTGAAGAATGAGCATGACAGGAATCAAGACGTCTAAGCAGGATCATAAGACATGATTATAAAAAGAGATGAGATCAGCTGGGCATCAGTGGCTCATACCTGTAATCCTAACAACTCAGGAGGCTGAGATTGAAGGAGCATGGTTTGAAGCCAGGACAGAAAGTCTTCCTGAGACTCTTATCTCCAATTAATCACTCAGAAACCAGAAGTGGTGCTGTGGCTCAAGTGGTAGAGCACTTCGTGTCCTGAGGACAAAGAGGCTAAGACAGGGTCCAGGCCCTGAGTTCAAGCCCCACAACCAACAACAATGACAAAAACAAAAAGAGATGAGAGCTATCGATGTTGAATTTTGACTTTATATTATTACTATATCTTTATTAAGAAATAGAATCAGTATCTCATGAAGCTTACCTGGTTTAACGAGTTGAGCATGAGCAAAAATTTGCCAGGAGACAAACATCTACTTTGCTAAAGGAAAAATGAAAAGATCCACTTTCAAAAGAGGTTCTAACTTGATTTTCTTATTCTGTAATCACTATCAGACACCCCTGGGGCACCATCTGGAGCAACCTCTGGAGCTGTAGGAGGCAACACCTCTGGAGAAGCAGGCACGGGAGCCACAGCTCCTGGTAAGGTTCACCTGGCTGGAGGGGAGACCTAAGCAGATCCCATACAGGCCTGCTCACAGCAAGCATGGCCTATAAGTGCAAGTTCCAAGTAGGAGTTTTTTGTTGTTGCTATTTTAGTACTGGGTCTTGAACTCAGGGCTTAGAGTTCCCACTTGGCTTTTACCACACAAGGCTGGTGCTCTACCACTTGAGCCACACCTCTGTGTCTGCCTTTTTGCTGGTTAATTGGACATAGGCATCTCATAGACGTTGCCGACTGGACTGACTTTGACCTGTGATCCTCAGATGTCAGCCTCCTGAGTAACTAGAACTGCTGGTGGCATGTCCACCAGTGCCTAGCTTCAATATCTTCGCAAATTTTGATATTCTTCTTTTCAGGGACCACAGGCATGTCTTCAGGTCTTACCACATCTGGTCCTGGAGGCTCAGCTAGACCACATACAACCTCTGCTCTCAGCAAGTCAGGTAAATTAGAAGAGAAATGCATGAGTACTGAGGTGATAATGTCCTGGTCTCTATGAAGAAGTGTAATAATAGTACGTGCCTGGGGGCTGTGGACATTAAGATTAGCTGGCATGTCTATAATAAGGTATAATTTTTTTGTACCCCTGAGTTATGGCCATAATGATTCTGGTACTCCTTCTTTGAACTTCTGAGGTTAAGAGTATGGTGTGGACTCATGGTTGGCAATTCTAGGCACAAAGCAGAAGTCAGAGAACTTTCTATCCATCTATCAAACAGTTCTGCACAGACTCAATAAATCTATAACCCAGAAATTTTTGTGTGTAAGTGCTAGATCTGAACCTTGAACTCAGGGCTTGGTCACTATCTTTGAGCTTGTTTGCTCAAGGCTAGCACTCTACCACTTGAGCTAAAACTCCACTTCTGGGAGTTATTTTGGTGGTTAATTGGAGATAAGAATCTCATAGACGTTCCTGCCCAGGCTGGCTTCAAACTGAGATCTTCCCATCTCAGCGTCCTGAGCTAGGATTGCAAGTGTGAGAAACCAGTACTCAGCAACCAGGCAGAATATATTTTTTGGTCAGTTGTGGGGCTTGAACTCTGGGCCTGGGCACTGTCCCTCATCTCTTCAGCTCAAGGTGAGCTCTCTCCCACTTGAGCCACAGCGCCACTTCCGACAATATTTTTTTAAAGCTTTGCCAATGTTCTTGAACAGCCTGGATGAAAAGTCACTAGTTTCAAATACCTGATTTTTCAAGAAGTCATTTTATTTATAAGCAAAAGTAAGTAAGGGAGGCACTGAGAAAATAATGTGTTAAGTTAAAGGCTCAAAGAGACAAAGAATATGTTTCTTTCATAGGAGGCTGTTAGATCTAATTTATGAGCATATATATACAGTGCCGTGTACATATATACACAACTAAAGGGTGATATACTCACAGAAAGATTCCAATGGTGGAATTCCCCTGAACAACTACTATACAGCAGGAAGATAAAACATGTTTGGTTGAGAGGAGAGGTGATAGGAAGGGGGGACAAACAAATGGAGAGAGAAAGGGTAGGAAAATGCAGTCATTATAGTCAACATTCATATGTGAAAATGGAAACAAGTTACTTGAGGGGAGGGGTGGGGTTGGGTGAGATGGGGGGGAGAATGATGGGAGGGGCAACATTGATCAAAAGGCATTGTCCTTGTAAACCTATGTGTTCACTTGAAACCCCTGTGTACAGTTATTAAAAATAATTTGAATTTTTAAGTAAATAAGTATATAACGGATTCTAAGGACCATATAAGATTATTGTGATAATTTTTATAAGTATTGAGCCTAAAATAAAAAAATGTATGTAAGATATTTTGAAAGAAAGAGAAATAGAGTTAAGACAGACAGACAGACAGGAAGGGAAGGAGGGAGAAAGGGAGAGAGTTAGGTAGAGAAAGGAGAGGGAGAGAGGAAGGTAAGAAGAAACAAGCAAGAGCTATTCCCCTTCATCAAAGATCATGGTCCATATTGGCTTTCCATTTTGAAATGGAACACTGGAGAAACAACCAGAGCCCCAAGCAATGAGGCAACATCCCCCAGGGACCACTCAGATAAGTAAGGGGGGTCAGTCAGAGGCCATGGCTTTTGTGGCATTTGCTCATTGTCCAATCAGAAACCTGTCATTCTCACGTGGTGTTTAATTATCAAATGAGATCCAGTCAGAGAAGTAGGTGGTATGTAAGTGACTTCACATATTTCTCCAAGTGGCCCTTCACATGCCTTATAGTACTGTGGTCCTGACAAAGGAAATGCTCTCACAGTGCTGTGATGATGAGGGAAACAAGAGGCTGTGTGGAACTGCCACTGGAACCTTCAGTCACATCGTTAAAAATAAAAGCAGTTAAAAAAACAATAGAGGTGGTGCTTGAACTCAGGGCTTCAAGCTCTTCCTTGGCTTTGTCCACACAAGGCTAGTACGCCATTGCCAACATTTTGCTGATGAATTAGAGATAAGAGTCTCTTGGACTTGTCTGACTGATCTGACTTGGAACCCCAATCCTTCGCCCTCAGCCTCCTGAGTAGCTAAGATGACACAAGCATGACCCACTAGCACCTGGCTCAGCAGCATCATTACTAGAACATTCTTCCCTGGTTACAGCTCACCGCAGTGTTCAGGCAAGGCCCATAACTCACTGTCATACCAATGGCAGTCTGCCATGAACTGATCTGGAGCTCTAGTAATGAGAGCATTTAACTATGTCTATAAAGGCCAACACAGGCAATCTGAGTTCCTCTTAGGAAAAAAAAATAACCTGAAATTTCTCCAAAGAGCTGTTTTATCATAACCATCCAAGTACTTCAGGTTGCTGGAAAAATATAGAATAGCTGATGTTCAGGAGTAAAGCACATACTTAGCATGCTAGAGTCCCTGGGTCTGATTTCTAGTATCAAAACAATAAACACAAAAATAAAAACAGGTCAGTCAAATATGAATTTGACTTTTTGGTATGTTTCCTGCAGTGATTGGAGGGTAATTGTTTAACTGGGATTTGTACCTCTCTGGGTAGCCTGTGTTTGCCTCTGAATTGCTCTTTGGAAACCTCTTCACATTAAATACCATTTTGCTTTTTCCTTTTTTGTTTTTCCTCTCTGGTACTGGGGCTAGTGCTCTACCACTTTAGCCACTGTTACATTTCTGGCTTTTTAGTGGTTAATTCGAGATAAGAGTCTCATGGACTTTTCTGTCCAGGCTGGCTTTGAACCATGTTCCTCAGATCTCAGCTCTTGTGAATAGGATTATAGGCATGAGCCACTGACTCCTGGCTGTAGTTTCAGTAGGTACAACTGGAGAGGAAAATGCTGTCCCTAAGTCAGCTGCTAGCGAAAATGCTTCTGGGGCATCAGGGATGGAAAGGCAATATTAGACTAAATCTAAACAGAAGAAATGTGCAAGGGAATTGAAAGGTAAAAAAGAGGTCACCTACCCACCCCCAAATATCATAGATACTTAAACAAAGACAATGTGAGTTTCTAAAGGATATAATTACAGGAAATAGACAAAAATACCTAATAGATATACAATATGTACTTAAATACAATTAGTACAATTTTTGGGAAATAAAAGTCAAAGAAACAACTAATATTTAGCTTGTAAGTATGAAGAAAAATTCTGAAATTAAAAATACATATGTATGTATAGATACATACATATATACATTAACACATATATACATACATATAAATGTATATATACATATATGATATATATGTGTGTGTGTATATATATATATATATATATATATATATCATGAATGCATATCTGGATGAATTAATCCTGAGTACTAATTTCTGCAATTAGAAAATATTTGTACTTGAAAAATAAAGGAATAAATTCTGTGGGCCTTAGGGCAGAAAGATCAAGTCATTAAAAAAAGATCAAGTCATTAAAAAAAAAGAAATGAGTCAGGCACCAGGCACCGGTGGCCCATGCCTGTAATTCTAGCTACCCAGGAGGCTGAAATATGAGGATCACAGTTGGAACCCAGCCTGCACAGTTAAGTCCATAACACTCTTATCTCCAAATAACAACCAGAAAACCAGAAGTGTTGCTGTATTTCAAAGTGATAGAGCACTTTCCTTGACTGAAGGAGCTCAGGGACAGTGCCCAGGCCCTGAGTTTAGGTCCCAGGACTGACAAAAAACAAAAACAAAACAAAACAAAAAACAGATTAGCATCAGTTTTGCCAAAATGAGAGTAGCTGAGAAAATGTGGGCCAAGGGTTTTATATCCAACTAAGCATAATTGTAACACTAAGTCTAGAAGAACAGTTTATAACATGAAAGATTTGAGGAAGTATTGCACTCATAATCCTTCATAATATAGTTTCACTAAAGGGTGGGTGTTAAGTTAAAAACAGAGATACTTTGAAAACCATAACAGACAAGAGACCTGGATATTTTTGAGGGGCACTGAGACTTGAATCAGTGCCTCATGCTTTCTGGATAGGTGCTTGTCCCTGAGCCACACTCTTAGCATTGAACAATTATTTTTAATGTTGACTCTAAAACCAGAACAAATGTTTAAGGAAAGGTGGGAGAATAATATGCAAATGTTCTTCACTTGGACCAAGTAAAACTAGCATACCAATCAAGTGATAGATAGATGATACATACATAGACATAATTTGAAAAATGAGTTAAATTTATTGAATTAATCATAGTCAAATGAATTAAAGCTCACAAACAAAGTAAGAGATGCTTGAGTTTATTAGAGAGAAAAAATGTGGATTCAGGAAAAATTATTTAAGCATTTTTATTTAGTGAAGGGTTTCTCGAAGATAGGATATTTCTTAATGTAACTCATAATATTAGTAGGTATAAGAAAAATTTAATTAGCTACCTACACAGAGATTGAAAAGATACTTATTAAAGTTTTAATAACTATTTCTCATAGGAAAAAATACATTCTAACTCACAGAAATGAATATTTCTTTGAACCAATACATCCATGTTTGCCACAAATTCTGCATTATGGTGAGGAATTTCTAGATTCACCCCACTAACCACAACAACAGGATAAGGAAAGACAGCCTTTTTATAGTTATTAATAAACTGGGGTAGGTGGAAATTGAAAGCCCGGAATCTGAAATAAAGGATCAAATTCACACTCAAGAAAAATGCAAATTAAAACTACACGGGGATGTCGTGTCGCGCTTTTTCAGGCTGGCAGAAATCCACAACTTTGACAACAGCCCTGTTGACAGTTCTGGAAAGAAACAGATGGTACTAGGTAGCTGGCAGAGGGAGCCTGGGGGTTACACCCCACAGAGACCAGTCTGGCAAAATAGAACAGATTTACATATTGATTTACCTTTGACCTGGAAATCCCACCATGCTCTCTAAGGGCAACTAATACAACCAAAGTAGGTATGACGCGTGTGTGAGCTCTCCACAGTGGTAGTGTTTTTAATAGAAAGAGTTACAAACAGTTCACGCTTCTTAATTAAAGAAGACTCATGGAATAAAATACACTACAGACTTGGATTCAAGAGAGTTAGGGAGGTTTCTATATAATGATCTATGTCTTGAATTTTATATTATATGGGTTTTTTTGTTGTTTTGTTTTTTTGCCAGTCCTGAGGCTTGAACTCTGGGACTAGGCAGTATCCTTGAGCAACTTTTGCTCAAGGCAAGTGCTCTACACTTGAGCCACAGCACCACTTTTGGCTTTTTCTGTGATTTGGTTGGAGGTAAGAGTCTCACACTTTCCTGTCTGAGCTGGCTTTGAACTATGGTCCTCAGATCTCAGCCTCCTGAGTACCTAGGATTATAGGCATGTGCCACTGGCACCCAGCTTATGTCTAGAATTTATTAAAAGAAAAAAGAAAGCAGAACAGCCATACATATAATTTTAGCTTTATGAAAAAAGAATTGTGGTGCATATGTGTATATGTTTTATATGTGAGTATGTATGTAAATATGTATTCATACATGCAAAAATATAAAACTTATAGAAGGGAAATTAGGAACTCACATAAATTGTTACAGAAAATAAAACAGATCAGGAAGACTGAATTCTCTAAGTATTCTTTTAAATACGTTCTGATTTTGGAAAATGAAAGACCTATAGTTTTTAGAAGTCTAACTAAAAGCTGAGCATTAGAGGCTCATGCCTATAATCCTAACTACTCAGGAAGCTGAGATCTGAAGATTGAGGTTTGAAGTCAGCTAGGGCAGAAAAATCCATGAGCCTCTTAGCTAAAATTACCCAGCAATGAGCCATAGGTGGAGATATGGCTCAAGTGGTACAGTACCAAAACAAAATAGCTAAACAAGAGTATGAGCACTTGAGTTCAAGTCCCAGTACCAACACAAACAAAGCAAATCAAAATCAGAATTTAAAACAAATACTGTATTATGGTTGAAGGTCAACCAAAATAAGTAACCCTATTTAAATATCAGATTATAAAAAGTAAGCTTTTTGTATGAGTTCATAACATAGTATCTGTACCTTGCATGCTTACTGTGTTACAGTCATATGTAAGGTATGCATATACTGTAAAATGTATATGTTTGTATATATGCATATTTATATGTATATGTGTGTGCATATATACATATATATGTCCATACATGTCTGCCACCTTGGAGACCTGCGTCTGCCTCCCAAGTGCAGTGATTACAGATATGCATCACCACACCTGGCTCATGGCACATATTTTAAGGGTAACATGATTACAAGGATAACATATTTCATTCAATAATTTTATTTTTATTAGCTATGTTAGTGTCTCACCTTTGGAATGATCTTGTTTATTTGTTATAGAGAAAGTGCTAAGTATTTTCATGAATGTTGTTGGAATCTAAGGTTTCAAATGTGAGAAAAAAATATATGAATGAATTCCTGTGATGCTCATTGGAGTTTACAATCTGAATTTATGATATACATGACATGTTAAATACCCCATATATGCATATGTGTATACATATGCATCGTTCATAGGAAAATGATGAAACTGGTAATAGATCTAAGCTGCTGGAAACTTCTTTGACATAAAATAGGTATTGAATAAATGATCATTAAAAGTGAATAAGAAAGAAGGAATGCAAGGCACTGGTGGGTCACGCCTGTAATCCTAGCTACTCAGGAGGCTGAGATCTGAGGATCATGGTTCAAAACCAGCTGGGGCAGGAAAGTCCGTGAGACTCTTATCTCCAATTAACCACCAGAAAACTGGAAGTGGCCCTGTGGCTCAAGTGGTAGAGCACTTGCCTTGAGCTAAAGAGCTGAGGGACAGTGCCCAGGCCCAGAGTTCAAGCCCCACAACTGACAAAAGAAAGGAAGGAAGGAAGGAAGGAATGAAGGAAGGAGGGAAGGAGGAAGGAAGGAAGGAAGGAAAAAAGGTTGTGCTGTAGCAGAAAGCACAGGATGAAATGAGATGATGGTGTCAGAGAAATCAGGGAAGAAGGAAGCAACACTCTTCCTGCAGATTAAAGACTAAGCCAGATGTCAATGTTATTTTCGTTTCCTACTTGTTTGCAGGGACAACTCCACCATCTTCACCAGTGTCAGGGGATTTGGGACAATCTTCAGGAGTAATAAGGACAGCTCCACAGCCAAGCAGAGAACCAGGAACAACAGAACCCTCTGTTGTGCAATCAGAGACCACTAGAACAACATCTCAAAGTTCAGGAGTAACAACACCATCCCCTGGTGAAGTAGGAAGACCAACTGGCGTGACAACAACAACAGCTACCACATCAGTAGAAGGGCCAAGAATGCCTGAACCATCAACCAAGGGATCAGAGACAATGGCCACCTCAACAAGAATCACAGTGACATCTGGACAACCACCGAAATCAACTGAAACAACCGTCCAGTCAACTGGGGTGAAGGAAAACACTAGCCCATCAGAGACAGGGTCTGGAACAACTGGATCCTCAGCTGACAAACTAGTGACAACTGGAACACCTGGTGTAGTATCAGAAACAACCAGACCATTGGGGACAACTGAGCTATCATCTGGTATACCAGGAACAACCTTACTGCTGACTGGAGTGACAGGACCATCTGAACCATCAGTAGGAGTGTCAGGGACCAGTGGACCATCAGCTGTGGAGACCAGGACAACAACACCATTGGGTGTCACAACCAATGAGGCAGGAGGAACTACAAGAGAACCAGAAACTGAGGTGACGATACCCAAAGGTAAGTTTAATTATAAAGGTTAGAGCGTTTCATGTGGACAATTTAGTGGTGGGTCATTAGACTCCTATTATTGGATCCGTATACATTTTCTCACAGTTCAAGAGGGAATTAAGAACGTGATCTGGTGAATAATGAAAGGCATTTTCCAGAGCATTATGGTCATAAACTGAGCTTCCAGACTTGTTGAGAAGTTAGTTTTTGTTATGTCCCTTCAAAATGAAAACAGAAATTGTACTCATCCATTAGAAAGCATATTACGTCATTTGTAGGGAAACACATGGATCTAAAACAAATACTACTAAGTGAAGTAAGCCAGGCTCAGAGAGACAAACAGCACATACTTCTTTTCATATGTGGAAGCCAGATCTAAAATATAACTCTGTATGATAAGGTTTTCAAAGCTCAATGCATTTGTACACAAAGTGAACTACAGGAAGGGGAGACTTAGGGGAGCAATTACAGGTGTAACTCCTAAACAACTAAAATATATTGTTTATCAAAATGATTATCAGGAAGTAGAAACATGCCGGGGGTCGGCAAAAAAGGGACGTACAGGAATGGAGGAAGGGGAACAAAATCAGTTGTACTATATAATATACATTATGTAAAATAAGAACTCTGTAACTTGAAGATAGGGATGGGTAGGGGGATGTGAGAGAGAATTCAGGAAGGGGTGACACTGGCCAGGAAGCATTGTATTCGTAGCCTGACTTCTGGAATTGTAACTCCTTTATAAGACTCCTTAATAATAACAATTACAAATGCTGCAAAAGAAACAAAACCAAACCAAAGAGAAACCTGGTATAACCAGGGGATGGGGGAGTGGTGGCGATTGGGGTTCCCACAAGGGCAGGCTGGGAACACAGCTGGATTACCTTGTCGCTGGTCATACTGCCAGGAACAAAGTGAGCAAGGCTCACCACGGTGCTCCCTGGTGATCTGACCCAGCATCCCTGAGGTGCAGATTATGATAATATGTTCAAGTCATTTACCTGACCAAGACCAAGGTTTGGGGAGAAAGAATTAACAGATAATCTGAGTTTATCACCATCTGAATTTATAATTCCCCTAAGAAGCAGAAAGTTTACTTTTTTTCCCTTAAAATGAGCCATGTAAAATAAAAATTTATATCCTCAACAAGACCTGACCAACCATGTTTGAACTCAGGATCTGGATGCTGTCCCTTAGCTTTTTCACTGAGGCTGGTGCTCTAAGACTTGAGCCATACCTCTACTTCCAACTTTTTGCTGGTTAAAAGGAAGAGTTTCATGGACTTTTTCTGCTCAGGTTGGCTTTGAACCATGATCCTCAGATCACAGTCTCCTGAGTAGCTAGGCTTACAAGGGTGAGGCACAGGCACTTGGCAAGATTTATTCTAACTACTTACAGAAATTTATTTTCCTAACTAATCACCAGCAACTAATTCAATAACTTAATTCAAGCTAAATTTATATATTCATTTTTCAAACGAGGGCTACGCAAATATAAATGAATTAGTGTCTATTAAACACCATAACTATATTATAATGGTTTTGATGTCTTCAGTGTATAGTTTATTTTAACATTTTTTAATTCAAGTACTAATTTTTAATTAAACTGAACTTAACAAGGATTACAAGTGTGTATTTCACTTGCAAGAAAGTTTAATGGTGGTTTTCAGTTTGATAATTTGTAACTCAATGATGATCTCTTAGAAAAGGACTTTATCATTTAGCTCTTAAAATTATTTCATTCTGACCCAGATTTGTATAATCTATGAAAATGAAAGATTATTTTTAGTAAAATTGTTGTATGTATTCATGGCATTTGAAGCACTAAAGTGAATTTGTAATTGAAATTTAAGAATATATTTTTTACTAAAACATAAATTTAATCTTTTCTTTACAAGTTCCAGCTAACAAAATTCCTAACATATTCATTGAATGTAAGTTGAAATTAAAATAACAAAAATATGTTTCTGAACGTTATGGCTTAACATCGCATTTCTCTACCTCTCTCTTTTGGTGCTAGTGCTGGGGCTTGAACCTTGCTCTCTCACTTGGCTTTTGTACTCAAGGCTGGAATTCTAACTCTTGAGCCACAACTTATTTCCATCTCTATCATTTTCACGTGGAAGAAAATCTGAGGGAATGTGATATTCTTCCCAAATGATAATCTAATGCTTCTATTAATCTTTATGAAGTGAAATAAATTATAAGTGCATATTCATATATTTGTTCTTTTGAATTCTAGTGCCACCAAAACAGCCTAAAGTCACCACAGGTAAGAAGATAGATTATAAATACACATTTGAAAAAGGCAGTGTTGTGTTAAATCAACTAGAATGGGAAATAATAATAACAGATTTTTAACATATTAACAAAACATGAACTTCAAATTGGATTTTGGTAGCTTAGGTCTTTCCCTTTTTAGTGACACTTAGGATTGGGTTTGGGGCTTTCTGTGTGTATGTAGCACTTACCCTCAGTTCTTTTGCTTTTAATTTTTAATTTTTTTGCATAGAGTCCCACACTTTTGGCTGGGGCCAGGCTCATATAGAATCATCCTACCTCTGTGCCCTAAACAACTGGGATTACAGGCATGTACCATCACACCTAGCCTCCTAGCATAGGGTTACCTCTATTATGTCTCCTTTGGATTATAATAAAGGTATACTGATACCTTGTATCCTAGTCATATTCTACACTAATTGTATACTCGTATACAAACATAGAACCAAGCCAAGCACCAGTGGCTCATGACTATAATCCTAGCTACTCAGGAGGCTGAGATCTGAGGTTCAAGGTTTGAAGCCAACCTGGGCAGGGAAGTCCATGAGAGTCTTATCTCTAATTTATCACAGAAAAAGCAGAAAGTGGTGCTGAAGCTTCAGTAGTAGAGTTCTAGACTCAAAGTCTGGAACTTAGAGACAGCATCCAGGCCCAGAGTTCAAGACCCAGGACTGGCAAAATAAGTAAATAAATAAAATAAAAATAATAGCAGCTTCCAAAATACCTCCTTAATTTTTTTTCAAAAGGAGTTCCAAAGCTCAGTATATTTGTGTTTGTGAACTGTTACTTCTTATGAATATTATTTAGCTTTTATTGCATCCTGGTGTGTCTTTTTAATTTGAACATATTTGAAAGATAAGACACAGAGGCTCAATCTTAAATATTTAATCTTTCTGTATTTCAGTATTTTATATTAGGTTCTATAAACTCTTGGAAAGAGACATTTTTAATGTATATTTTTATTGCAAAGATACTGTACAGAGGGGTTACAGCTGCATGAGTAAGGTAATGAGTACATTTCCTATCAAGCACTGTTACCTCCTCCTTTGTTTTTCCCCTACCAGACCTTCCCACCCCACCTCCCCAACTTCTCCCTCTCCACCCCCTGAAGTTGTAAAGTTCGTTTTCAACATAGTGTCTTGTACATATCATTGTTACAATGGATCAACCTGCATCCTTATTTCAGCATTTTGTTATTTCCCTTCCCTCCCCAAATTAGAAAAATGTATATTATATACAAGATGCAGGGCACTGGAATCGAATACAGCAAAAACAGGGGTTGTAAAATGGAGGAAGAACATACAAAAGAAACAAAAAAAATCATATATTACATTATAAATACATTAGACACAACAGGAAGAAAGATAAAACCTCTTGTGTCCCTATCTTGGGGTTCATTTCATTTAGCACCATCTTCTATGGTCATATGTACATAGCTTTTGACCTTTTCTGCTTGTCCTAGACATATACTAGTTATAGCAAATAAGGGAAACCATGGGACCTGTGTTTCTTTGGGCCTGGCTTACTTCATTTAATATAATTTTTTCCAAGTGAAGGAGACATTTTGACCTTGTTTAAGTCACTGTTATGGACCCTATCTGGTGGGATGTTCCGCATTTATAGTTGTCTACCTGACCAGTAGACACCACCTTTGTTAGAAAGAGCACATGTCTTCTGCCTTTTTAATGTATCACTTGAGAGAACTTTGCATATGCCATGTACTTAATACCTACATATTGGACTTGGTTTTCATCTAGAACCTCATTTGTATAATGTAGGCCTTGAATCCCTTACCTTGAGAGAAAATATGATTTTTCCCCTGAGATTTTTTAACCTGTTAGCAAATAGTCCAACATTCCAAAACACAAGCTCTTTCTATTCTGCTATCTTTTGGGGGAAGAGGACGGTGGGGGAGGGGAGAAGGACGTACCAGTCTTGAGGCTGGAGCTTAGGGCCTGGGCACTGTCCCTGAACATTTTTGCTTGAGGCTAGCACTCGACCACTTGAGCCACAGCTCTGCTTCTAGCTTTTTATTGGCTAATTGGAGATGAGTCTTACAGACTTTCCTGTCGGGGCTGGCTTCTGTGATCCTCAAAGCTCAGCCTCGTAAGTGACTAGGATTACAGATATGAGCCACACTCATGTGAATCATTTGCAGCTTCTTCCATGATAAACCAGGATGCATTGCTACATTTACTTTTCCTTTGTCTTATACATTACTGGAGCAGATTCTGTGCACATAGCAATGTTTACACAAAGTGGAATATTCTCTGAACACTCAGATGAAAAAATGTTTGTGTAGCATTGCTCTGATAAAATGACACAACCCTGCCAGGCTCCAGTGACTCATGCCTGTAATCCTAGCTACTCAGGAGGCTGAGATCTGAAGACTGCAGTTCAAAGCCAGCCCAGGCAGGAAAGCCCATGAGACTTTAAACTCTCCAATGAAGCACCCAAAAAAGGTGTAAGTAGAACTGTGACTCAAGTGGCAGAGTGCTAGCCTTGAGCAAAATAGGTTAGGGACAGTGCCCAGGCCTGAGTGAAAGCCCCAGGACCTGCACCAATAAAATAAAATTAAAATTAAATGACACAACTCTTTTTAGTATCCCAAACCGCCAGAACTTAATCTTGTCCCATTTTTTTCCCTCAGGAGCTACAACAACCTCCACAAAGGGTGTTCACACTGTTGGATTCAATACAGGTGTGTGTCAAAGACTTGGGCCTTGTGACCTAGGTTCTTTGCTTTTTTTCAGTTTTGAATATTTTTTCTAAAAAGATGCCAAAAGTAGAGTTGAGAATCATGTAGTTTTAATCCCGAAAGAAGGACAGTTCCTCATCAACAGTAACTTATCCTGTGAAATTTGTAAACGGTCGTAAGCTTTTGGGGTAATTTCAGAATAACCACATTTCCTAATCCTGAGAAATAGGAGTTATAAGAACCCAGGAGAGATACCTGCACTATGCAAATCTTCTAGAGGACCAAGTACTTTGACAGTTTTGGAGTTGGCAACAGGCTGATAACTTGCCATGTCAGGCACCCCTGTAATCCCAGAGCACCAAGTTCTAGGTGACAAAGTGACTAAGCCTGGGGGACACACAACAAGTCTCTCTGTAAAGAACATCTGGAAGTTTCCCTCTGGTGAAGAACACTGCCACTCAGATGGCTTTGGAAACACAATGGGAAATGGGACATTTTATATGGGTCTCTGCCCTTAGGGGAGAGACAGGCTGAGAACCGGTTGGGCATAGGGAAAATGGGCTTTGCTCTTCCTAACAGCAGGAGCACCAGGGTGATTTACAGTTCTCTTTGTGTTTCAGCCACAACCAGGATGGCTTCTGGCACAACGGTGGCCCCTGGCAGGGCCAATACAGGTAAACCTGCATGCTGGGAATGAACGCTTTAGGACTTACCCTGTAGTCAGATGTCCCCTCTTTTCTGTTGTTATTTTGTATGTGTGTGTGTGTGTGCCTGCGCGCGCGCACCATACCTGGTGTTTGAACACAGGGCCTGGGTACTATCTCTGAGCATTTTTGCTCAAGGTTGGCACTCTACCATTTGAGCCACAGCTCCAGTTCTGGCTTTTTGGTAGTTTATTGGCGATAAGAGTGAAATTCTTAGACCCGGCCTCCTAGGTTTGAGCTAGTAGGATTACAAGTGTGAACCTCCAGCGCCCAGCTTTATTTTATTTTTGCTGCTGATACTAAGACCTAAATTCAGAGGCTTGTGCTCTCCCTTAGCTTTTTTCATTCAAGGCTGATACTCAAAGCCTCACCTCTACCCTTTTTTGCTGGTTAACTGGAGAGAAGAGTCTCTTGGATGTGTCTGCCTGGGTTGGCTTTGAACCTAGATCCTCATATCTCAGCTCTCTTTGGTTGCTTTCCTGATAGGGGTAACAATACTTTTTTTTCTTTTTCATTCTTTTCATTTTTTATTCTTTCTGAAACCCTTTCCTGTCTTCCTCCCCGTGGAGGAAGTGAGGGAGGAGCCATTGCCTTCGTTTCTGAGCATTCTCAGTGGAGTCTGTGGCTTAGTATGTTTCCATGTCATTCACTTCTGCCATGTTGAGCCATGGAAGGTAAAATATTATACTGTCCTTTGACTAATATTCACAGAGTAAAACTTCATCCTTATTGGTGATGGTAGAGCTCACTTCCTCCCAATTCCTACAGCAGCCAGGCAGTCATTTAGATGCTTTTGATTCTATAGCTTTCTCATTTTCTTTTTAATTATCTTTGGTTTGTACAAAGGGGTTTCTATCCACCATGTCAGTTTGAGTCCAGTGCACGTTGATCAATGTCACCCCCCTCCCAATCCCTCCCCCATCTCTCCCAATCCCACACAGCTTAAAAATATCTTCATAGAATAAGGAAATAGATGGTGTTGAAGTTTTTCTTTCTGTTTAATAGGCCCACTATAGTTTTACCTGGAGTCAGTAGCAGTTCATGGAGTTCTAAGTTAGACAAAGCACATAAGATCAAGCCATCATCTGAGAGATGAGGAATCAAAGAATTCTGTTTTAAATGTCATTTCAGTATCTATTTTTGCCATCTGAATATCAAAATACTTCAATTAATGAGCAGAATGCGTCTGTCATTTCTCCCCATTTCTAAGCACCTCTTTCACCCCAAGGAGTCTTGAATCTAGAAGGGGAACTGACCGGGTCAGGAAGATATTCTTCCATGTTCTGTAGCTACCATGGAAAGATAGCCCAGGAGATGCACAGGGAGAGAGGGGGCAGCCATGGATGGACCATTTCCTTCCTGTGGCTTAAGACCACATGGCTACTGCCAATAGTGATCAAGAAGTAAATACAGTGTTGGTTCCTCTTTCTAATATTGGGTACTACAGGGGTATTCTTTGGGATAACAACCATTGTATATGGAGGCACACACATAACTAGGTCAATAAGTAATGTCATATTTTTGTGTATATATTTCAGTACTAAGGCTTGAACTCAGGACCTGGGCACTGTCCTTTAGCTTTTTCTGGCATACTATTTGAGCCACAACTCTACTTCTAGTTTTTTGGTAGTTCACTGGAGATCAGAGTCTCACAGACTTTTCCTGCCTGGGCTGGCTTTGAATCTTGATCTTCAGATCTCAGCCTCCTGATCCTGAGTAGCAAGGATTACAACCATGTGCCACACAAAAAAAATCATATAATTTTAATTTTATAATAGACCTGCTCTGATGAAATAACATCACACATCTTTCCTTGCAATCTGCCAGAGGCCATGACTTCCACAGGGGACAGTAGTTCCTCTGGAAATCCATGCAAAATAGGTGAGGCTGAGTAGCTCAGTATGGGGTTTGGAATGGCTGGCTCTCCACAGCCTCCACTGTTGGAGGTTGTGTTTTCTTACAGAGTGAGTGACTTGTAGTTCCTATCCACATTTTCTTACATTGAAGATAGGCCAGAGAGTTCTTCATACCAGCATGAAGCCTTGTAGCTGTAACTTCCTGATGAGTGTAGCTGTGTAGCCAATGGGAAAGTCACCTCCTGTGACCTCATGTATATCGTTAGAGGGCTGGAGGATTGGAGAAAAAGGGAGAAAAAGAAAATGTGAGCCAGCCACTGATGGTTCACTCCTGTAATCCTAGCTACTTGGTAGGTTGAGATCAGAGAAATAAATCATTCAAAGCCAACCCAGGCAGACAAATCTGAGAGATTCTATCACCATATAACTAGCAAAAAGCCAGATGTGGAAGAGGTGTGGTGACTCAAGTGGTAGAGCAACAACATTGTGTAAAAAAAAGCCTAGCAAGAGCTTGAACCCTCAGTTCAAGCGCCAGTACTGCCACCAAAACAACACACACACACACACACACACACACATGCCTTGTGAATTTTGGAAATAATCTTATCCTATTTATAGGCTTGCTGCTTTCATAAAAGACCAATGATAAGTATTATCCTATGTTCTTAGAACATTCAAGTGGTTTTTTTCCATACTAGAAACCACTGAAGCACCCAGAAGCAGAGGAGCTGGGATTGTGACAGTTATGCTTGGAGGACAGCTACCTTGCTCCCTATTCCGGGGTAGATGGAATTTCAGGGGAGCCAATCTCAGCTTGAGAATATTACTGTTTGATACCTTTTTTGTGTGCCAGTACTGGATCTTGAACTCAGTGCCTCTTACCCAAGCTTGACTTTGCTACTCAAAGTTGATACTTTACCACTTGAGCCACAGCTTTTTTGTTGGTTGTGGGGCTTGAACTCAGGGCCTAGACACTGTCCCTGAGCTTTTCTGCTGCTCTACCACTTTGAGCCACACTTCGGCTTTCTGGTGGTTAATTGGAAATAAGAGTCTCATGGACTTTCTTGCCCAGGCTCTCCTCAAACTGTAATCTCAGATCTCAGCCTCCTGAGTAGCTAAAATTAGAGGCATGAGCCACCAGTACCTGACTTTCCATGAGACTCATCTCTAGTTAACCAGCAAAAAGTAATACGTAGAATTGTGGTTCAAGTGGTACAGTGCCAGACTTGGGCAAAAGAAGCTAAGGGACAGCTCCAAGGTCCTGAGTTCAATCCTGAATGCTGACTGACACAAACATAACAACAACAACAAAGACAATGAGTAGGTCAATCTTAGTTCAGCCACTTCTAGGTTTGCCTCTGGACAAACTCTAAAACCTGGAAATGCTAACACAGGCTAGAAGTTCTAAACATGACCCTGTGGTCACTACAACCTCTGGAAATACCAGAAGATTCTAGTCAATCTCTATTTTCTCTCTGTCTCTGTCTCTCCCCCTCCCTCCCTTCCTCCCTTCCTCTCCTTCTCTCTCCTCTTTCTCTCTCTTCTCTCTTTCCTCTTTCCCTTCTCTCTTCCTCCCTCCTCACAACTTTCCCAGTAGGCAGTGGGACTGGCTAGCAGGCCCATCAGGAGATGAGCTTTTCAGTCTGACACCTGGGCTTTCTCTCCTTCTCCATTTCTATTGTAACATTGGAGAAGCATAAGGGAGAACCTTGCATTTTCTCTGGGGTCATGCTATGTTATGTCCACCGGGCAGTTTCTCAGCTTAGAAATTCCATGACTTCAATGTTCTGGCTTCCCACTGCCCCCTCCCCACCCCCCAAAATAGCATGAGAGCATGAGGCATATATTTGAATCCTCCCTGCTAGGAATTTCAGTTTTTCCAGTTTACCTATTCCCCAGAGTCGACTATTTTCTGCCACTTACCCCCCCCATTTACTCATATATGATATTTATGATTGATTTTTGTTTTCGCTCAGCAGAAAGTTTCACAAAACAGAATATTAAAATGCCCCAAGATATTTAAGAAAAAAAAAGAGTTGATGTACTTAAACCAGACATTTTCTCCCTCTTCATACCAGGGGTATATCCCTGGAAGTAAAATAATTTGAAGTCATGCTGGTGGCTCAAGCCTGTAAGCTTAGCTACTCAGGAGGCTGAGACCTGAGGATTATGATTCGGAGCCAGCCTGGGCAGGAAAAGTCTGTGAGCCTCTTATTTCCAGTAAACCACCAGAAAACCAGAAGTGGCACTGTTGCTCAATGTGGAAGAGCTCTGGCCTTGAGCACAAGAGCTCAGGGACAGTGGCTAAGCCCCGAGTTCAAGCCTCAGGACTTGCATAAATAAATATATACATGCATATATTCACACATACACACTTCGAAACTTTGTTCTTTCCTTACTACATGGTGGTTACTTCAGTAACAAGGCAATGTAGGGAACTTATTTCCAATTATCTTAAGAAATAATCCTTAGGGGAGTTAGGGCTCTTCCTGCCTTAGTACCACACATGTTCTTACCATGACTAATCACAGAAGTAATGCTTTCTTGCATTTACTTTTTATTTTTTTGCATTCTAGGCACCAATAGAGAACGCACTAGAACCACCATTATGTCTAGTAGTTCAAACACAGTTGGTTAATAAGAAGGAGATGCCTTTTATTTATTTGCAGATCTTAGATCTGCTATAATAAAATAGCACTCCAGTATCTCCCCACACTAATCCAAATTCCAAGGCTTTAGTCATTCAGTTTCTTTTTTTTTCCCCCTGGCAATCTGGGGTTTGAACTCAGGACTTTCCACTTCTAAGTAGGTACTCTTCCACTTCCACCACTCTGCCAGTAACTACATCCTATATTTGTTAGTTTTTGAGTTAGTCTTTACTTTCTGTCTGTCTGGGTCAATCGAGACTTCAATCCTCTTTTTTGTGCTTTCTTTTGTCCCTGTGATGGTCTCATGCTTGGCTATCTACCTGTTGGTAGAGATGGAATGCCATGAACTTTTATGCCTTGGATTGGCCTCAATAGTGGAACCCCAAGAATAACATGGGTTTATTTAGGACACCTCCCAAATAGCTAGGCACCATACCTAACTTCTATAGGCTAGGTTAGAGTCCCCACACCTAACTTATATTTTCCCATTTCTGACTTCAGAAGCCTTAACTTCCACAGAAGGGATGAGTCCAACTACAAATGGACTCAAAACTGGTGAGGATTCATAGTCCATGGCATGGGATCATCAAGAATAGGACTCTACATCTCCCTTGGGAGAGTTTGCTTTAAATGTAATGATTCTACAAATAAGTTTATAGGGATCCAGATAGGCTTGTAAGTAGAAATAACCTGAAAATCTAATAAATGAGCCTGGCAGCCTTAGAATATGAGTGATATTTCTTTACATAATCTCAAGTATTTTAGCTGGAATCCATACTGTTTTCTCTCTCTCTTTCTCTCTCTCACACATACACAAACACATTTGCACTCGATATAACCATTGTATATATGCGTATATATAATCAATATGTATATGTACACATGAATATAAAAATGTATTTGCTCCAGATTTCAAACTTTTCAGTACATGTAAACTTGGACCTCTCTCTTCCTGTTTCCCACAGAGATCACTGCAACAACAGCAAACCATGAGGGTAAGCACCAGGGAAAGGCCTCTGCTCTTTCTCTTATTATTAAATTCCAAGCAGAAGTACCTCAAATTGGGAATTTATTCCCAATTGTCTGTATGCTTTGATTATGATTTTGGAAGCTGGAAAATACATATGTTTCAGCCATGAGATTTCCATTATAGTCGATCAAAAAAATGAATGCATGTGTGCCTGTACACTTAGATATTTACAAACTGTCCCTTTGCTACTTGGGTCTTCTGGCTCAGTGAGTCGCTATGTTTCAGGTACCTCCACAGTCAGCACTGGCACAACAGTTAGCCCTGCAGGTGTGAGCACAGGTGAGTTCACAGCTGGCCACACACTGTGTTGAGCCCATCCTGCAGTGCACTTCCCTTGTGCTGCTTCCAAACAGACTCACCACAGTTGGCTCTGAGCTCTGTGATTCATTTTCTGTGATCTCTCCCCTCTCAGCAGCCACAACTTCCTCTGGAGTCAGTGGGACCAGTGGAGCTGGAAGCCCTGCAGGTAAACGCTGACAGCCCCTCCTACCTCCACACACACAGCTGTGCAATGAGAGCTCCTATTGGTCCTCTGAGAAGAACACATTCTCAACAGAAATACCAAAACCCGGGATCTGATCTATCAACTAAGGGTCAAGCACTGAAAGCTTCCTCTTTCCTTTCTTTTGCTTCATGAAGACTTCACTTTGGAACAAAGAACTGAGCACGTGTGAGATCATTAGAAGAGAATTTTTTAAAAACATTTTCATTATAAAGGAAGTCACAGTGCTCTCGAATCATGTCATTAGATATTTTGCAGGGAATAAATGTACTAAATCGTCATTCTAGCAAACACTGAAAGCGCTTGTTGGTACATTTGAAAAAACCTCATCTATGAGAAGTAATTTCTTTACATTATGGTGAAAAGCTGAAATATTTGTCCTTTTCAGTCTCTAATTTTAAGTTCAAGTGTGATACAGAGACTACAGAACTCTAACATTGAAAGCAACAGATAAGCATACTAATAATCCATATTTTTATTACTTACAAGTTCCAGGCCACCTGTTTTTTGTGTGTGCCTATCTTAGAGCTTGAACTCAGGCCCTGGCCTTATAGTCCATATTTCTAGTGTGGGTCAGATAGGAATAAGAATTCCATGGCCAATTAACATATTGGATAGTGCTGCCCTTACCAGCTAGAATCAACACTAACCCAGAAGGTTTAGTCTCAGGATAAAAGAGGACTAGACATTTATTTATTCATTATTTATTTATTTATTCATTTTTTATTTATTTATTTTTGGTCGTGGGGCTTGAACTGTGGGCCTAGGTGCTATCGCTCAGTTCTTCAGTTCAAGGCAAGCACTCTACCATTTGAGCCACAGCACCACTTCCTAGAAATTTTTATATTTACCTCTCATTAACTTTCTGTTTATTTATTTGTTGGTCCTGGGACTTGAACTCAGGACCTAGGTGTTATCCCTGAGCTCTTTTGCTCAAGCTTAGTACGCTGCCACTTGGAGCTGCAGCTCTACTTTCTGCTGGTTAATTGAAGATAAGAATCTCTTGGATTTTCTTGCATGGGATGGCTTTGAACAGTGACCATTAAATCTCAGTCTCCTGAGTTGCTAGGATTACAGGCATGAGCCACCTGCCCACAGCTTTTAACTTTAAATAGTGTTGCCCAATGATTGTCTCCATGAGAGATTAAAGATCAAAGCATATTTGATTGGTTTTCTTATTTTCAATAAGCAAGAACCACCTCCCCACTGGGACCTTGGATCAATACATCACTGGATATTATAAAAAATATTATGCTCATTTCCATTGGGAAATTTTCTACTCAATTTGCTAACCATGTCTACTGTCTATACAAGCTTTCTGTGAAAGGTATTCTTTCATTATGTTCACTAATCACTAGTATCCAACAGGATTAAATAGATATTTGTGAGATGAGATAGATAGTTGTTGCATAGAAAAATAATTACATCAACTTAGGAGCAGAAAGACCAATAAAAACATGATAAAAAAAAAACCAACCACATACATGATGAAGTCTATTTAAATGCTATTTCCCTGAACTGCCCAGGGCACAATCTCTGAATGATGTAGCCTACGTGGCATTCATTGAGTTATGCATAGACTGTTTCAATGGCTGGTGCTTTTTCTTGTTTCAGGCACCACTGGTGTAGCCAGAAGCACAACTGTTGCCCCTGGCAGTTCTAGCACAGGTGAGCTCCAAGCATGGAGGAAAGTTCTCATTCTGGAAATAAGGTCCTAAAGATGACTTCCATAATGCTCTTCTCATGTAAAAATGACACAGTGTATTTTTCTAAGTCTTCATGATGAACCTTCTCTCTCCCCCTTCCAGAAACCACAGCTTTTACAACAGTCAATAGTACTACTGCAGCAAGAAGGGAAACAGGTGAGAATTTGTGTGTGTGTGTGTGTGTGTGTGTGTGTTTGTGTCTGTGTGTAAGAGAGAAAGAAGCAATTCATAGAATATAACATACACGGATTTATTTATCTATACACATGTATACATGTACATACATATATTTTCTAAAATTATTACATTTGAGCACATTTACGCATTTAATCGGCCTCTCCCCCGACATCAGGAGAGATACTGGAATAGCAGGAAATCTGGCAGGTGAGCATTGGGGAAAAGCTCTCATCAGATCCCAGCAGGACTATCTCAACTTGTGAACATTGTCATTTTATGTTGGTTCTGAGATGTTGAAAGCAGGAAGCGTGCATCTAATTCACCACATGGTCTGGCCATAAGATTTTAGTTACTGTGAATAAACAAATGTAGGAATGTAAGTCTGCATTTTAGATTCAGGTCCTCCTCTGGCTTCCTGAGTTGCTATGACAGCCTAGCTTCTTTGTGCTGCAGGTCCCACTGAGGTCAGCACTGGCACAACAGTTGGCCCTGCAAGTGTGAGCACAGGTGAGTTCACAGCTGGCCACACACTGTGCTGAGCCCATCCTGCAGTGCACTTCCCTTGTGCTGCTTCCAAGCAGACTCACCACAGTGGGCTCTGAGCTCTGTGATTCATTTTCTGTGATCTCTCCCCTCTCAGCAGCCACAACTTCCTCTGGAGTCAGTGGGACCAGTGGAGCTGGAAGCCCTTCAGGTAAACACTGACAGCCCCTGCTACCTCCACACACACAGCAGTGCAATGAGAGCTCCTATGGGTCCTCTGGGAAGAACACATTCTCAACAGAAATACCTGAAACCCAGGATTTGATCTATCATCTGAGAGTCAGGCACTGAAACCTTTTTCTTTCACTTTCTTCTCCTTCAAGAAGACTACAACTTGGAACTAAGAACTGAGCACATATGAGGTCATTGGAAGATAATTTTTTTTTACATTTTTACTATAAGGAAGTCATTGTGCTCTTGAATCATCTGTCATTGGATATTTTGTTAGGGAAGAAATGGTGTGCTAAGTTGTAGTACTAGATACCACTGAAAGAACTTGTTAGTACATTGGAAAAAAAACCCTCATCTATGAGAAGTCATTTCTTTATGGAGAAAAGCTGAAATATTTGTCCTTTTCACTCTCTAATTTCAAGTTCTAGTGTGATAGGAACTACAGAACTCTAACATTAAAAGCAACAGATAAGCATACTAATAATCCGTATTTCTATTACTTACAAGTTCCATGCCATATGCTTTTGTGTGTGCCTATCCTGGAGCTTGAACTCAGGCCCTGGGTGCTGCCACTGAGTAGTTGTTCAAAGCTAGTACTCTACCACTTGTGATATATTTCTATTTCCAGGATGGTTTTTGATGATTAAATGGAGATTAAAAATTCTCATGGGCTTTACTTGGTGGGCTAGATTCAAATCCCATTCCTCAGGTCTTAGCCTGCAGAGGAGCGAGCATTACAGGCATGCGCCATAGGCAGCCTGCTCCATATGCTTTTAGTATGGAGATGCTTACCAATCTTATTTCAAGCAAGGCTTACTTAAGGCCGAGCTGAGAGGCATATGACTTGTGTGGAGTATTGTGGAGAAAAGTCTCACAGACTTTCCTGCCACTGCTAACTTTGAGCCTCAGTCCTCAGACCTTGGCTTCCTGAATAGCTAAGATTACAGGCTTGAGCCTGTGCAAGATCTCCTATTTTTAATACAAATAATTAATACATACTTGTTATTTCTCATTTTCTTTTCATTAGGAACCACCACCAAAGCAGCAGAGAGACCAACAGGTAAACATGGGAAATGGCTTTCAGATAACCTTCAAACTTTAAATAAAAAATTCTCCAGACAGGAAAGTCGATTTCTATCATGTGCTAAGCACATGGCAGACATGGAAGATGTCTCCCCTGTCATTGATAGGAACAGGAAATGCACAGTGACTAGACAGGAAGGGTCACTGATATTCTAGAAGTAGTTGAAAAGGATGCTGTTGGCTACTTTCTCCTTCAGGTTGACAAAATGTCAATGTGCTGTTTTCTCTCTTTTTCCTGCCCAGCCACTGCTAAAGCATACCCGACTCCAACAGCTACACATGGGAGCTCCAACTCTGGTAAAGCACCAAAAGGGGGGAGAACCCCTTCTCAGAAAGGATCTGCAATAAGCCGTTCCCTAGTGATCCCCCCACCATCCTTCTCCAGAACATTGATATTTGGCCCTCTCTTTTCATTTTCCTTTTTCAGAGGCCACAGCTTTCTCTGGAGTCACTGAAGCAGTGACAATAACAGGTACAAAATAAAGAAAAAGGATAACTAGTGACTTCCAGCAATTTGAATCGCTTGAAATAAATTCATGATGGTTTATAGAATAACACTTTTGTCTAAGTTACCAAGTTTTAGGAAACCTATGCTTTACCACAAATTCTTTCATTGCTACACAAAAGAATGTACTCGATTTTCTTTAGGAGCCAAAACTACTGTGCCAGTAAGCCAAGTCTCTGGAAGCCATACAGGTAATAAGGAGAGAGTGACAACTTCTCCCTGATATTTTCCATATTTTTCAGAAAGAGGAGATGTATGAGAGTTCAATCTTTCTGTCTTATTCCTCCATTTGGGAAATGAAAGAACCTCAAAAATATTAAATGAGCCTGATAATAGATCTTCAATGACTGTGTTCAATGCTTTCCTTCACTTAAACTGATCACTTAAAGATCTCTCCTCCCTGTAACTGCAGGTACCAGTGGAGGCATCTCCAGCATCACTTCTGAGTCTGGAAGCTCCATTACAAGTAAGTAAATTCTCTTGGAGGAACATGTCCTTGTTAAATTGCATGGGAAATATACTTTCCCAATCCTGCCCAATACTTGCTTAGAAACCAACAGAACCACATGGAGGAAATCTGAAAATGAGAGGCTGCAGCTGTTAGCACTGCCGCTGAGGACCATCTGGAGCCAAACTCTATGTCTGAAAGATGGAAGTATAAGAATGGCATTTGGTTCTGTCTGCACCCCAGAACACCCCAGGCTGCTGACACTTATTCTAGGATGGTTTCTCTCACAAATCCTGGCCTTGTAGTGTGATTTCTGGTATGGTGCAGATAGGAACAGGTATTCCCTGGACAATTAACCCATTGGAGATTGTTGCCACTATAAGCAGGAGTCAACACTGACCAAGAAGGTTTATTCTCAGGTAAAAACAGGAAAAGAATGAAGTCAGACTTATTTTCAACCTCTCATTGACTTTTTTATGCTTGGCTGCAAGTCATCTTAGTGATGACTTAAAGATCAAAGCAGACTAGAACGGTTTCCTACTTGCATTAGTCAAAAACCACCTCTGGGGCCTTGAATAGATAGAGCACTGGATATAAAAAAAAAGTTATGCAGCAGGGCACTGGTGGCTCATGCCTGTAATCCGAGCTACTCAGGAGGCTGAGATCTGAGGATTGCGATTCAAAGCCAGCCTGGGCAGGAAAGTCCATGAGACTCTTATCTCCAATAAACCACTAGAAAACCAGAAGTGGTGCTATAGCTCAAGTGGTAGAGCACTGGCCTTGAGCTGAAGAGTGCAGAGACAACGCCCAAACCCAGAGTTCAAGCCCCACGACCGACCAAAAAAAAAAAATGTTATGTTTGCTTCCACTGGGAACTTTTGTATTCTATTTGCTAAGCATGCCTTCTGTATATAATGCAGGCTTCCTGTGAAAGGTAATCATTTATTATGTTCACTGATATCTAGTGTTGAATAGGGTTAAATAAATTTGGTTGGATGAAATAGATAGTTGGTAAACAGAAAAGGTAATTGGCTCAGTCTAGGAGCAGACACCAATAAAAACACATTCAAACACCAATCACATACATGATGAAGCCCATGTGAACTGTATCTTCACAAGCTGCCCAGGGCACACTCTCTGAATGATGTAGCCCAAGTGACATTCTTTGGTTTATACATGGAATGCTTCAAGTGCTGATGACTTTTCTCATTTCAGGCACCACTGGTGTGGCCAGAAGCACAACCGTTGTCCCTGGAAGCTCCAGCACAGGTGAGCTACAAGCTTGGAAGAAAATACCCATTCTGGAAATAAGGTGCTAGAGATGACCCTCATGTTGTTCTTCTCATGGAAGAGCAACACAGAGTATTTCCCCTTTTTCCTAAGAACTCACCCTTAACCACCATCTCCTCCCTGTCTCTCTCTTTCTCAAACCATAGCTTTTATAACAGTCAGTGGCACCACTGCTGCAGGAAAGGAGACAGGTGAGAATTTGTGTGTGTGTGCGTGTGTGTGTGTGTGTGTGTGAGAGAGAGAGAGAGAGAGAAAGAGAGAGAGAGAGAGAGAGAGAGAGAGAGAGAGAGAGACTGACAGAGATATAGACAGAGACCAGACAGAAAGAAGCACCTGATGGGAACATAAGATATTCAGGTCCATACATATATATACATATATCTGTTTCCTCCAAAATGTAAGTTTTAAGCACTTTCAAGCATATTATCCACTTCCCCCTCCCCACTGCCTATCTCTCAGCAGAGATACTGGAACAACAGGAAACCAAACAGGCGACCACTGGGGAAAATCTCTCCTCAGATGCCAGCAGGACTATCTTAACTTGTGATCACTGTCATTTTGATTTGGTTCTGATAGGTGGAAAGCAGGAAAATGCATCTAATTCATCGTGTGCTATGGCCATGAGAATTTCATTACTATGAACGAACAAATGTACAAATCCACATGTGCATTTTAGATTCAGGTCCTCCTCTGGCTTCCTGGTTGCTATGACAGCCTAGCTTCTTTGTGCTGCAGGTCCCACTGAGGTCAGCACTGGCACACAGTTGGCCCTGCAGGTGTGAGCACAGGTGAGTTCACAGCTGGCCACACACTGGGCTGAGCCCATCCTGCAGTGCACTTCCCTTGTGCTGCTTCCAAGCAGACTCACCACAGTGGGCTCTGAGCTCTGTGATTCATTTTCTGTGATCTCTCTCCTCTCAGCAGCCACAACTTCCTCTGGAGTCAGTGGGACCAGTGGAGCTGGAAGCCCTGCAGGTAAACGCTGACAGCCCCTCCTACCTCCACACACACAGCTGTGCAATGAGAACTCCTATTGGTCCTCTGGGAAGAACACATTCTCAACAGAAATACCTGAAACCCAGGATTTGATCTATCAACTAAGGGTCTGGCACTGAAACCTACTTTCCTTTTCTTCTGCTTCAAGAAGACTTCACCTTGAAACTAAAAGCTGAGCATGTGTTAGCCCATTGGAAGAGAATATTTCTTACATGTTCACTATAAGTAAAGGAAGTCATGATGCTCTCAAAGCCATCAGTCTTGCATATTTTGCAGGATACAAATAGTGTACTAATAGTTAGTTCTTTATACCGCTGAAAGCGCTTGATGGGACATTGGTAAAAGCCAGAGGAGAAGACTTTTGCTTTACATTAGGATTAAATATTGGTCCTTCCTTATTGCTCTCTAATTTCAAGTTCATCTACCATAGGGAATGCAAAACTCTAACATTGAAAGCAACAGATAAGCTAACAATCTGTATCTCTACTTCTTTTGAGTTCCTTGCCATAAGCTTTGGGGGGGGCGGGGTTGTGCCTGTCCTGGGGCTTAAGCAAAGGGCCTGGGAGCTGTCTCAGAGCTTTTTCATTCAAAGGTAGTGCTCTACCACTTGAAACATAAGTCTAGTTCTAGCTTTTTTGTGTGGTTGACTGGAAATAAGAATCTCACAGATTTTCCTGCTTGGGCAGATTTCAAACTATGATCCTCAGGTATCAGCCTTCTAAGTATCTCGGATTCCAGGCATAGCCATCAGCAGCCTGTTGTATGAGTTCTTTTATTGAGATGCTTACCAGTCTTATTCCAAGCAACAATTCCACAAGGCCCAGGTGAGAAGCATATGAGTTTTATGGAATATGGTAGAGAAAAATCTCACAGACATTGCTGCCAAGGCTGGCTTTGAACCTCAGTCCTCAGATATTGGCCTCCTGAATAGTTAAGATTACACAATTGACCCCTAGGTACCAGGCATACAATGTCCTATTTTTCACACAAATCATCCACACATAATTTTCACTTCTCATTTTCTTTTCCTTAGGAACCACCACCAAAGCAGCAGAGAGACCAACAGGTAAACATGTCAGGTGGCTTTCAGATGACCTTCAAACTTTGAATAAAGAAATTACCCAGACAACAAAGTTGGTTCCTATTTTGTATTAAGCACATGGCAGACAGGAATGTTGTCTCCCCTATGAACTATATCAACAGGAAATGCACAATCACTAGACAGGAAGTGTCATTGGCTCCCTGGAAGTCCCTGATAAGGATGCTGTTGGTTACTTTCTCCTCCAGGCTGCAAAAATGTCACCTTGCTCTTCTTTCTCTTTTTCCCACACAGGCACTGCTGGAGAATACAGGACTCCAACTGCTGCACATGGGGGCTCCAGCTCTGGTAAAACACCAAAACTGGGGAAGAACTACTTCTCAGAAAGGTTCTGCAATAATCAGTTCCCCTAGTGATCCCCCCCATCCTTTCCTCAGAACATTCAACTTGGCCCTCTCTTTTCATTTTCCCCGTTTCAGAGGCCACAGCTTTCTCGGCAGTCACTGAAGCAGTAACAATAACAGGTAAAAAAAAATAAAGAAAAAGGATAGCTAATGACTTCCAACAATTTGAATTCATTGAAATATATTCACAGTGATTTTTACTAATAACACTTTTTTCTGAGTTAACAAGTTTTAAGACATGTATACTTTACCCAAAATACTTACATTGCTATACAAAAGTATGTTCCCTATTTTCTTTAGGAGCCAAGACTACTGCACCAGGAAGCCAAGTCTCTGGCAGACAAACAGGTAATAATGGAAGAATATCAACCAATCCCTGAAATTTCCATAACTCAGTAGAAGGAGATGCCTGAGAGTTCAGTCTTTCTGTTTTATTCCTCTTTGGGGGGAAAGAAAGAACCTCAAAAGAACATGCAAATGAGCCCCAGAATAGACCTCCTATGACTTGTGTTCAATGTTTTCCTTCCTTTAAAGTGATGGCTTATAGATCCTCCTCCCTGTGATTGCAGGTACCAGCGGAGGCATCTCCACCCCCACTTCTGCATCTGGAATCTCCATCACAAGTAAGTGAATTCCCTCAGAGGCTCTCAGCCTATTCAGTTTCACTGGGAAAGATGCTTTCCCAAACCTTTCCCCACCCCATGTTCCCAATATTCCTAATACTTGCTTAGAAACCAACTTTGAGCAAATGAGTGAAAATGAGAGGTTGCAGCTGTTAGCACTGCTTCTGAGGACCAGCTCAAGCTGGACACTACGCCTGAAAGAACACAATTTGGTCTTCCCTACATACAACCACAGACAGACTACTGACACTCACCCTAAGATGTTTTCTTTTCTGAATTGCTGGCCTTAAGGCCCAGATTTCTGGTAGGGGTGGGATAGGATTCCCTGGACATTTAATGCAATGGATAGTATTGTCATCACCAGCAGGAGTGAACAACACTGGCCCAGAAGGTTTATTCTCTGGATAAAAGAGGACTAGATTTTGGAATTTTTTACTTCTCATTAACTTCTTGTCTTCCCTGCAACATTTTATATTTCATTTATTTACTTAGTTATGTTGGTCCTGTGGCCTGACCTCAGGAGTTCTGGCCCTGATCTCTTTTTTTTTTTTTTTGTCAATCATGGGCCGGAACTCTGGGCCTGGGAACTGTCCCTCAGCTCTTCAGCTCAAGGCTAGTTAGTACTCTACCACTTGAGCCACAGCATCACTTCCAGCTTTTTCTGCTTATGTGGTACTGAGGAATCGAACCCAGGGCCTCATGTATGCAAGGCAAGCACTCTACCACTGAGCCACCTTTCCAGCCCCTGGCCCTGATCTCTTTGCTCAAGGTTAGCACTCTGCCACTTTGAGCCACTGCTCCACATTCTGGTGGCTAATTGGAGCTCAGGGTCTCTGGAACTTTTCATTATGGGATTGCTTTGAGCCATGAACCTCAAATCTCATCCACCTGAGTAGCTAGGATTACAGGTATGAGCCAGCCACTCCCAGCTTTTAGCTCCAAATATAGTTACTCAGCATTAATTTGACTCAGTGCTGGATTAAATATCAAAGCAGACTTGGTTTTCCTACTTGCAATTGTTAAGAATCATCTCAAGCCTTGGATAAATAGATCACTGGATATAAAAAAAATTATGTTCACATCCGTTGGGATCTTTTGTATTCAGTTTGCTCTGCATGCCTATTATATAATACAGGCTTCCTGTGAAAGGTATTCTTTTATTATGTTCACTGATCACTAGTGTTGAACAGGGTTAACTAAGTATTTGTAGGATGATACGTATAGTTGATAGATAGAAAAAATAATTGACTTATTCTAGGAACAGAGACTCATGATTACATGTTTAAACACCAACAACATACATGATGAATTCTATGTGGCCAGTATCTCTACAGGATTCTCTGAATGATGTAGCCCCGGTGACATTCTTTGGTTTATCCATGGAATGCTTCAAGTGCTGATGACTTTTCTCATTCCAGGCACCACTGGTGTGGTCAGAAGCACAACCATTGTCCCTGGAAGTTCCAGCACAGGTGAGCTACAAGCTTGGAACAAAATGTCTATTCTGGAAATAAGGTGCTAGAGATGACTTTCATGTTGTTCTTCTCAAGGAAGAGCAACAAAGATTATTTTCCCTTTTTCCTCAGACCTCACCCTTACAAACTCTCTCTTTCTCCCTTTTAGAAACTACAGCTTTTACAACAGTCAGTAGTTCCACTGCTCCACAAAAGGAGACAGGTGAGAATTGGTGTGTGGGTGTGGGTGAGAAAGAGAGAGAGAGAGACAGACAGGCAGACAAACAGGCAGGCAGACAGACAGACACAGACAGAGACAGAGAAAGGAGCACCACATGTGAACATAACATATTCAGGTGTATATATCTTTACAAATCTCTCTCTCTCTCTATTTATCTATTTATCTATATATACATATATCTTTCCTCCAAAATTTAAATTTTGAGCACATTTCAGCATTTTATCTGATCTTCCACTGCCTAACTCTCAGCAGAGATTCTGGAACAACAGGAAAGCTAACAGTTGAGCATTGGGAAAAACCTCTCAACAAATTCCAGCAGAACTATCTCAACTTGTGAACATTGTCATTTTATGGTGGCCATGAGATGTTGAAAGCAGGAGAATGCATCTAATTCACCACATGGTCTGGCCATGAGAATTTTGTTACTTTGAAAACACAAATGTAGGGATGCAAGTCTGCATTTTAGATTCAGGTCCTCCTCTGGCTTCCTGAGTTGCTATGACAGCCTAGCTTCTTTGTGCTGCAGGTCCCACTGAGGTCAGCACTGGCACAACAGTTGTCCCTGCAGGTGTGAGCACAGGTGAGTTCACAACTGGCCACACACTGTGCTGAGCCCATCCTGCAGTGCACTTCCCTTGTGCTGCTTCCAAGCAGACTCACCACAGTTGGGCTCTGACCCTGTGATTCATTTTCTGTGATCTCTCCCCTCTCAGCAGCCACAACTTCCTCTGGAGTCAGTGGGACCAGTGGAGCTGGAAGCCCTGCAGGTAAACACTGACAGCCCCTGCTACCTCCACACACACAGCTGTGCAATGAGAGCTCCTATTGGTCCTCTGGGAAGAACACATTCTCAACAGAAATACCTGAAACCCAGGATTTGATCTATCACCTGAGGGTCAGGCACTGAAACCCTCTTCCTTCCCTGTCTTTTGCTTTAAGAAGATTTCACCTTGGAACTAGAACTGAGCACATGTTACATTGTTGGAAATATTTTTTGAATATTTTCACTATAAAGGAGGTTATTATCCTCTTAAACTCATGGGTCTTGGATATTTTACAGTGTAGAAATGGTGTACTAAATCTTGATTCTAGAAACCACTGAAAGAGCTTGTTGGTAAATTGAAAAAACTCGTCTATGAGAAGCAATTTCTGTACATTATAGTGAAAACGTTGATATATTTGTTCTTTTTACTCTCTAATTTCAAGTTCTAGTATCATCTGGACTGTAAAACTCTTAACACTTAAATCAAGAAATAAGGATGCTAATAATCCATATCTCTATTACTTATGAGTTCCATACCATACATGTGTGTGGAGGAGGAGGAGGAGAAAAAGGAGGAGGAGGAGTCCTCTTTTTTCCTTCAAAACTAGTGTCCACTATTTGAGCTCTATTTCTAGCTTTTTTGGGGGTATGGTTTATTGGAGATAAGAATCTTACTGATTTTTTTTCCTGCTTAGGCTGGCTTCAAACTGAGATCATCAGAGCTCAGCCTCCTGAGTAGCTAGGATTATAGGCATGAACCACCAGTAGCCTGCTCTATATGCTTCTTTATTGAGGTGCTTACCACTCTTATTCCAAGCAAAGATTTCCCAAGGCCCAGTTGAGAATCATATGAGTTGTATGGAATGTGGTAGAGAAAAGTCTCATAGACTTTGCTGCCAAGGCTGGCTTTGAACCTCAATGCTCAGATCTTTACATCCCGAGTAGCTTAAGATTACACACTTGAGCCACAAGCGCCAGGCATAAAATGTCCTATTTTTCACATAAATCATCCACATATAATTTTCACTTCTCATTTTTCATTAGGAACCACCACTAAAGCGGCAGAGAGACCAACAGGTAAACATGGGAAATGCTTTGAGATTGTTCAAACACTGAATAAACAAATTATGCAGACAGCAATGTTTGTTCCTACATTGTGCTTGCAAAAAGCACATGTGTCATTTATACTAACAGGAAATGCACAGTAACCAAACCAGAAGTATCATTGGCTCCTTGGAAGTTGCTAATAAGGATGCTCTTGGCTACTTTCTCTTCTAATCTGCAAAAATGATGCTGTTGGCTACTTTCTTCTGTAGTCTGCCTCTGTGCCTGAAAGATTGTAGTAAAAGTTTGGCTTTTTTGTCAGCTTACTGTTCTCTTTTTTCCTGCCAGGCACGACTAGAGCATACCCAACTCCAACAGCTGCACATACGAGCTCCAGCTCTGGTAAAACTCTAACACTGGGGAAGAACTACTTCTCAGAAGGGTTCTGGAATAATTAGATCCCCTCTTCTCAGAACATTCACATTTTGCCTTTTCTTTTCATTTCCCCCCTTTCAGAAGCCAGAACTTTCTCTGCAATCACGGAAGCAGTAACAGTAACAGGTAATAAATAAATAGTAGGGGCAATGAGCGACTTCCAGCACTTTGATTCACTTGAAATAAATTCACAATGGATTTGATCAATAATACTTCGGAGTTACCAAGTTTTAGAATATCTTTACTTTCCCCCCACAATTTTTCCATTGATATACAAAAGAATGTTCTCTATTATCTTTAGGGGCCAAGACTACTGCTCCAGGAAGCCAAGTCTCTGACAGGCAAACAGGTAATTATGAGAGAGCATCAACCTATTCCTGATATGTTCCATAATTCAGAGGAAGGAGATGTCTGAGAGTTCAGCCTTTCTGATTTTCTCCCAATGGAGAAAAGAAAGAACCTCAAAAAAACCATGCAAATGAGCCCTAGAATAGACCTCGATTGACTTGTGTTGGATGCTCTCCTTCATTTAAAGTGACGACTTATAGATCTCTCCTGCCCCTAATTGCAGGTACCAGTGGCAGCATCTCCAGCATCACTTCTGAATCTGGAAGGTCCATTCCAAGTAAGTGAATTCTCTTAGAGGCACTCACCCCTGTTGAATTGCAAGGAAAAATGCTTTCACAAACCTGTTCTTACTTTCCCAAAGTTCTCCAATACTTGCTTGGAAACCAATAGGACTACATGGAGGAAATCTGAAAATGAGAGGCTGCAGCTGTTAGCACTGCCGCTGAGGACCATCTAGAGCCAAACTCTATGCATGAATGACTGTAGTATAAGAATGACATTGGGAGGGGGGCGGGGCCTGGGAAGGTGGCTCAGTGGTAGAGCGCTTGCCTTGCATGCATGAGGTCCTGGGTTCCATTCCTTAGCACCACATAAGCAGAAAAAGCTGGAAGTGGTGCTGTGACTCAAGTGGTAGAGCACTAGCCTTGAGCTGAAGAGCTGAGGGACAGCACCCAGGCCCAGAGTTCAGGCCCCACGACTGGCAAAAAAGAAAAAGAAAGAAAAAAGAATGGTATCTGGTTCTGTCTGCACACCAGAACAGCCAAGCTGCTGACACTTACTCTAGGATGCTTTTCTGGCCTTGTGGTGTAGGTGTCTGTGGTGGATAGGAATAGGAATTCCTTAGAAAATAAGCCCATTGGAAATTGTTGCCAGTAAAAGCAAGAGTCAACACTGACCAAGAAGGTTTAGTCTCAGGTGAAAACAGGAATAGAATGAAGCCAGAATTTTTTTTAAACTCATTGACGTTTTTGACTTGGCTGCACACGTTAAGCTACCCAGGGGTTGCCTCAGTGATGACTTAAAGATCAAAGTAGACTTGAATGGTTTTCTTGCTTGCAATAGTGAAGAACCACCTCGGAGGCCTGGGATAGATAGGACAATGAATATAAAAAAAATTATGTTCACCTCCATTGGGGAATTTTTATTCTATTTGCAAAGCATGCCTACTACAAATAGCACAGGCTTCCTGTGAAAGTATACTTTTATTATGTTCACTGACTCATAATGTACAACAGGGTTAAATATTTATTGGATGAAATACATAGTTGATACATAGAATACATGATTGACTCAATCTAGGACCAAAGACCAATAAAAACATGTAGAAACACCAACCACATACTGTTTACCTATACAATAAACAGTATCTCACCGAGTTCCCCAGGGCACACTCTCTGAATGATGTAGCCCCAGTGACATTCTTTGGTTTATACCTGGAATGCTTCAATTGCTGATGACTTTCCTCATTTCAGGCACTACTGGTGTGGCCAGAAGCACAACCTTTGCCCCTGGAAGTTCCAGCACAGGTGAGCTTCAAGCTTGGAAGAAAATGCCTCTTCTGGAAATAAGGTCCTAGAGATTATTTTTTTCATGGAAGAATGTTATTCTTCTCATGGAATAACCACACAGAGTATTTTCCTTTTTTCCTAAAACCTCACCCTTACAAACACTCTCTCTCTCTCTCCCTTTCAGAAACTACAGCTTTTACACCAATCAAGAGTACCACTGCAGCAAAGAGGGAAGCAGGTGAGATTTGTGGGGGAGGGTTGGTGAATGGGGGAAAGAGAGACAGAGACACACAGAGAGACAGACACACAGAGAGAAAGAAGCAGCTCCTTGGACCATAGCATATTCAGATATATGTTTCTTTACATGCATGTACATGCGTACATAATTACATATATAGACACGTTTCCTCCAAAATTTAATTTTTGAGCACATTTAAGCATTGTATCCACGTCTTACACCTGCTGTCTCTAAGCAAAGATTACTGGAACAACAGGTAAGTTAACAGAGGTGAGCACTGGGGAAAAATTCTCATCAAATTCCAGCAGAAGTCTCTACTTGTGAACATTGTCATTTTACTTGGATTATGATACGTAAAAGGCAGGAAAATGCATCTAATTCATCATGTGCTGTGGCCATGAGTATTTTGTTACTTTGAAAACACAAACGTAGGAATGCAAGTCTGCATTTTAGATTCAGGTCCTCCTCTGGCTTCCTGAGTTGCTATGACAGCCTAGCTTCTTTGTGCTGCAGGTCCCACTGA